CCGCAGAAGGATAAGAGTAAATGACACAGCCTAGCGGATCAATTCATTTAAGTACCAATTGACCGGTCATATTGTTCGGGGGACCGACTACTGTTAGGAAATAAAGATTCTCGAGTGACAGCAACGTACAAGCAAGTGTCGTGTTAAGTGTTGGTGACCCTGCTAGACGGCGTGACAACTTGGCCGATGGATGCAGGTGACTCAGAGCCTTAATTTGTGGCATTTTATGTTAGGTGGGCTAGCAATCACATTGCCTTTTTATTGTTATCTAGAAGAATCTGCTGTTCATCTCCTGGGAAACTAAAAGTTTCTCTTTGTCGGCTCTTACGACCCCAATACGTGGTTTTCGTGAAAGGCCACTATGAACATTTTTAGAAATCTCTCTCATGACTTTCTATTAAGTGGTAGTATTGTCTAAAAAGTAGTCCCTCTCAATTTTTTTATACGCCATTCTCTTCAAATTGTCCTACGGATGATATAAACGCATGTTGCCATGAGACAACTCGATCTCATATTATTTAAACCGATTTTTTTCAGTTGCAAGGAATTTTCAAATGGGAAAAATATCTTTTATATTTTATTATTTTTCTTTATATATTTTAATGGGTTAAAGGTATCCGAATTTGGGATTTTTCAAACAATTTGAATTAAGTTGAATAGTTTCAATATTCATGCGACGACACGAACGACGTTAAGCAAGTCTCAGAGGTGTTTACATAACTAGTCTAATACGATATCACTAATGCCCCTTCTAAACGTAACGTTAAAGGCAAATGCTTCCTACAGCGTGAGGGGTCCAGTAGACGAGTAGTCGCCGATGATGAAGATTTTTAAATATTGTTATGTTTTTTCAACGGTTAGTAATACATTTGTTGATACTATGAACCCCTTTTGTTACTCTTCACGATATTACCGTGTGCAATACGTTCATTAACAATCCCTCGGGTGACACGTACACACGAACTTGAAACACACTAAACTCTGAATTAATTAATTGAGTGTCCGTATCGCACGTTTTTTTTTTAAATTAATTTAACCTGCAATGTAAAACATTTAGTAAAAATACAAAACAGAATTGTAAATACAGATATGTGATATGGTTTATTTATACTTATCTATATATTTCTTTAGTTATTAATAATGTACTAAGTAATGGCACTAACTCACTAGAACTAATGAAAGTTTGCTATTTGCGTAATCATATGCAACTGGTATAAAATTTACATCATACACTGTAGCATGACCGTTAAAGTAACAATAAAAATTAATGAATACGCTAATCCTCTAGAAATTAAAACAGTACCCAGTCATGTATGTCTCACCAGAAAAACCTTGAAAAATAAATATGTGGATCAGGCTTTTAACTAAATTATACTCAATATGGAAAGTAAGAAGTACGTGCACAACTTTAAAATAGCCATATAAAATTGTATTTATTTGTGTTAATTTATTGTTAGACTTGCAACTAGGGTTGCCACATGGTCGGGATTCGTTTGGATTCTTCCGAAATTTTAAATGATCTCCAGACTCCCGACAAAACTGAAAATCTCCAGACTAACAGCTTCTCTTTACATCACAGCTTCTTTTGATTTAATAAAAGCTGAGTTAGCAATTAGACTGAACTTTGAAGTAATTTTTTTAAATTTTAAACCTACTGAATACTAATAAAGGATCCAAATTGGTAGACTCAGTAAAGTCTCATGCCAAATACGCAACATATGGCAACCTAAAAATTAAGTGTACCAATTTAAATTAGATATGTGTCAACAATATTAAGTCTTTTCGTAGCCTATAATTCTAAAAATAAACTTTTTATTCTATATTTTTATTTATAATATTTGTTTCTCCCGGCAAGAACTCTAAAATCCCAACATTTCAAAATTTTGTCCAGATATTTTGGTCTTTCCGATCTAGCAATCCTACGTGTAACATATATATTAGTGTCAGCTCCAGCACTAAAGAGTACAAAATCACTACGTTATGTCTCTTTAAACTGTGTTTTTACCCAGCACCGTCAAATTTACGAAACGTTGAGTACTACTATATCATATTGTGGTGTCTCATTTTATTGTAGTTTAAGACACAATTATTATGAATTAGAGAATTAATACTAAAGAAGTTTTTGGAAAATCGTATAACCTCCGACTAATTTGTGAATTAATTAGGTATCTATAATATATAAGGATCAACGTAAGTTTTATGTTGTTTTATACATCTGACACCAATATTCATGCTGAGCGCGGCTAAAATTAATAAATGATTATTTAATGATGTTTTACTACAAATTTCAATGTAATATTATAAATATAGACTGAATAAATAATAGTAATAAATTTTTTAAATTGGAGATTAATGGCTTGTTTGCAGGCAGGTGGTAATACTTACATGTTATTCAATTTATAGATAAGATAAAATGAAAACTGCATTTTGAAAAAAAAATGTGAAAAGCTAATATTATCTTCCACTATCAAACGATTGAATTCCCCTCGTATCCAACTTCTTTACAGCTTATCTAGAGTAAACTGCTGAACGTATTCCCTATAGATTGTCTCATAAAGGGGATATTTTCAACTGATGATAAGCTTGGTTCGCTGGTAGGCAACCGCAATTTTTATTTTGTATTTGTTATAAGAATTACGCTGCTATCTATATTTTGGTTTATTTCAACTTTAGCGACATCCTTTGGTGTCCCCAAAAAAATCAGGACAATATGGGTATAAATTGCGGCACGTAACTCTAGCGCTGACCGAAACGTGAAGGGTATAGCTGCGAATGTCTTATCAGCACGGGGGACGGAAGGACTGGAGAGCCAATCAGCGCGTGTGAACGATACGCACAGCCAATGATATGCAAATGCGCAATACGGTCACCGCTAGACTTTCATGCCGCGACTTGTATTCTTACATTGCCGCTACACGGTACAGCTTGCTTGCTATTACGAATAAAGTTCAATCATTTTTTTGTTAATTTTATCACTAAATGAAATTAATTTAAATTAAATACATTTTCCGATTTCAAAAAAGGATGAAATACTAGAGACAAGAAGGACCAGTTAGGCACAACATCGCCATCATATAGAAGTCATAATGCGCGGGTCGAGGCACTGACCTACATTTTGCTTGTCTATTCAATTTATGCATAATTTAGATGATATGAAAGCACACTAACTTCGCCAACGCTAATAGACTGTGCATTAAATATCAATCAATAACATCATAATACCTTTAGTAGATACTTTACTCCATAACAAGTAATTGAAGTAAAATCAAGTACATGCTTATTAAAAAGTATGGGAGTATTATATTTATTTTGTTAACAGTGTAATAGCTTTTAAACATGACAATACTGAAGACTTAAGGTAACAACACTCACTTCTCTTAATTATATATATAATTATTCATTATATATATATATATATATATATATATATATATATATATAATTATATTTTTTATGTGTAATGTGTGAAAATACAATATTATGCCCAACCCAACTAGCGATCCGCCCCGGCTTCGTACGACCGTTTTTTTAGATCTCGACAATAGCGCTACTTACCAGGTCCAATTGCGCGCAAACTTGTGTCTTCTGGGGATTAAATTGGACTAGATTTAGTCGTCCCCAGTCCGAGATTTTGTTTAACAAAATCTCGACTTCAGACACAAGTTTGTCCCGGTACTCGGCGACGTTTTCCCGAGAAATATTGGCACGGTCGGTGTATAAAGCATCACCAGTGCTGTCGTCTGCATAGAAATGAATGCTACTGATTTGCAATATGTCATTTATATGCAGAAGACAGCGTGGTGATAGCACGCAGCCTTGTGGAACACCTTGATGCTTCGATCAGCCGGCATATAAATTTGGAATTACAAATGGGATCCAGCTCGTTAAAGCACCGTGTGTTTGTCATGACTTGGTACTCATACCTTCCTAACTATTAGTTTTTAAAGTTTGCGAAACGAAAATTTGTAATGTACCTAATATAATAATCATCATCACTTGATTTCGAGAAGAATTTACTTGATTGTTTGAATAATAAATAATAAGTCTTGTCCTATTTTATTTTATATTTTTAGACATTTAGTAAAAATAAATAACTATAATAACACCGCGAACGAAATCACTATAAATTTAAGACGTCATGTCTTGTTAATTAACGTCACATATTTTAATAGGGATGTCATTTTTCTAGTTCAGAAGATACGAGTGTACTTACTCTCATATTTAGCATAGTATAAAGAGACCAAAGATGACCACTTGACATTGACATTTCTATATGCATGCATGAATTACACGCAACATCTTTATTTGAAAGTTAAATTAGAAAAAGTTAGGCAATTATATTGACTCAATTTATGTTGAATTATGGGTTCTCTCTATGCATACGTATGTATGTAATTACGCTAAGGATCTGCCTGTGGTCATTGTTGCTCTATGGTCGTAAACCATTTCTAACATTAGATTAGTGTTGTGGTATACTTACGGAAATATAACGTAATAAATTATTTTTTAATTAACATATAATTTTTTTCTTTGTTATTAATATTGGAAAGTGTTAAAACGGCTTAAATTGGCATTCTCGATATTTAACGACAATATAATGGTCACATTGTAAAATGTTGAACATTTTTCAAGCGTCCACAAACTCATTATTTCATTACAACACGCCAGCCGCCACGAGCGTTTACTAAAGTTAATTAAATTTATTTACATCGTATTGGCAAAGTACGAAACCGATAAAGCTTTAATAGAGCTTTTCTTTAGTAGGTACGTGTGTTTGTCACTGAACTTCTTCTAAATGGCTGGAGCGATTGGGATGACTTTTTGTGTGTATTTGAGTGGATGGTTTGAATTCACAATTGGATCCGGTAGGTGGCGCTGTTATCGAGATCTAGAAATCTTACGTGCGTAGACGGGGCGGATCGCTACTTACTTATATACATATTCTTTAAAATACGGACGTATGAAATATCACCCAACAATAGAGTGGGCAAATTATCAAAATGTTAGGTTTTCCCCTACCCCAAGCCTTAAGGTAACTTGACACAGATCGCGTAGATAGTATATTTAAAAAATATCTTAATCATCACATCGCTGGATAACAAAGCCCTTAAGTCACAAATATTCTATACTAGTGTACTTAAGGTAAAAGTATTCTTTTTCAAATTGGGTAAGATTCCTCACTATTAACTTCACCAATCGGTAGTTGTAAGTTCGATTATTCTAGTACATAATGGAAATTGAAAACTCCATCAAATGTGAATTAGGCAATGACGCGTCAAATACAAGATTTGGAGCCAATACCGTTCACAAAAGTTCAAAAGCTAAAAAAGTTCACTAACCTATGAATCTCAGTACGTATGTAGGTAGTGTATATAATTCATAGAGATATATTCATTTGTAGATTTTCGACAATCTGACCCATTACAACTACTAAATCGGAAGTTAAAAATAATGAATAATCATAATAATCAATTGAATTTTGAAGTAAACAAGCACAGTGTATTATTTAAGTATATATTACAGAAGTCTGAAGAACCTTTTTATCGAAGTAAAAGTGATAAATGAGCACATCGCTTACTTGATGGTAAGTAGATCACGTGCCATAGACACCGGAATCTATTCACTATTATGAATTCGATGAAATGCCTTGTACTAAAAAAAAGTATCTCCGGTGGTCCACAATCATCATACGAAAGACATTATGATGACATTTAACGCTCTTATGAGTATTCTATGCGATAATGTGGCCAACATAAATGTAGGTAGTGTAAAAAGCACTGCTAATACTATTTAAAATGCGCCATTATAGATTACAGCCTATATTCGGCCCACTGTTAGGCACAGGCCTGCTTTATTTGTTGGGAGGGTTGTAGAGCAATGAGGTATCTGCCGCGCTGCCCCATTCCGTGTGCAAGTTTTCACAAATATAGGTATTCAAAATTATTTTTAAACTATCACTTTAAAATAACAATTATCACAATTTCGTTGGTGCTGGCGAAGATCGAACCCAGGTTGCTTGCGTTCTGTGTAATTACAGCGAGCATTTAGCAGCGCTACCATGATTATATATTAGTGTTTATTTAGCAGTAAATAGCTACTTGTGTTTTTCAGGTTGGCGGCAGCGCAGGAGGCGGCGGGCGCGCAGGCTCGCGCGGCGCCAGCTGATACCATGGGCGGCGCGCACCAGCCCGCTACTCCAGGGCCCAGCTCGCTCTTTATATTCTCCGACGAAAATCCTATACGGAGGTCAGTAAAATTATGCACATTATACTAAAGCTCCACATTTTTTTATTAAATAGAAAAGAAGTGATAAATGAACACCTGCAACCAACTTCAAATAAAGAAGATTACAGATTCTTTGTCACTTCTGAGAACTAAGACAAAATGCCTCAAGGCCTATAATTATTGCTACGCTTTACGTTTTATACGTGGTAGAGCCACGCTGCAGCTATATTATGGTTGTAGCACGAATGAGTCGGCTCGACCGGGGAAGGAACACGCTCTCACAGAATACCAGCGTTAAATATCAGCTTAATACTGCTTTATATGGTGGAGTGTAGAGATCCCGAGACCCTTTTTACTGGAAACAAGGCATTATATCTTACTACTCAGGGGTAACAACGCGTCTGCGTTTTGATTCTTAATCGAGGATAAAGTCAAAGGCCACAGCATCCACTTACGATGAGGTGGACAGTGTGCTCGTTTGTCACCCAAATTAAAAAAAATGATAAAGCACGGCAGAAATAGAAAAGAGTGTAGAACCTACCACCACTATCCTCTAAATAGTATCATGATTCATGATTTTATTTTTGACACCGTGTTAAGAAAGTTTACGTCAAAACCATAATTTTCTATAAGTGTATGTGTAAGCGACTAGTGCAGATCAACGTAACGCTTTTAGAAAGGAGTAAGCAATTAATTTTCTTGACGTGTGCCCAACAAAATATGTTAAAAAATTAACAAGCGAAATTGACCAAAATCTTCACTGTGCTTCAATTTTTGTGTAGTTACATCGGTTTTCCAGCAGCTGTTGTAGTCACTTACTATCAGTTGGACTAAAAGCTCGACAAACGAGTCGCCCTTTTTATGAAAGTCTTATTTAAATATTTTTTAAATAGCGGAATATTAAGGATAAAATATTTTTAAATGTTGTATTCATAACTCATAAATAAATATCCGAGCTGTATCCTTGTTTGCAAACAAGTAGGTACATCACAAAGGATGAAAAAGTTGTATTCGGAGAGTTTACGCTCAAAAAAAGCTAAGAAAAGTTTACGACTAGCAATTAGTAGGTACAGGTTTATAGTTACAATAAAAAAATGTTAACAATTTTCTCCTGAATAAACATTATTGTTCTATTTCATTTTTGCTTCAAATCAGCAAAAAATTCGCTGACTCGAAATAAAAATATTCAGCTAATTAAGGAAATAAAATTATGTTGTAAAGCGCGCGCTTGAAGCGTCGCGATTCTTCGATAGTAGGTAGCGATCATCAAAGCCACGAAACGTTTAGTGCGCTTAATTGGTGACCACTTGAGTGGCATTTTTTCTCGAAAATCTGCGAGATATAAAAGACTCGTTTTCTTCTGAACCATTATATTGTAGATTTACGAGAAAATACGACTTTAATACATTTAAAAACTAGTATATTAATGTTAATTTGTAAAATACAATTTTTTTAAAAGCGACAGTAGCCTAATGGCAGGGCGCGGACCACGAACTCAAAAAGGTCGTGGGTTCGAATCCACCATTCGACTACTGGCGTGAACCACTCGTAACACAAGCAATTTAAGCTTACCACGAGTGGTTAAGGGGAATATTAGTAATGTTAATAGCATTGTTAATATACTTTTAAAAAAACTAAATAAAAATACCTAGGCAACCGAGCTTTGCTCGACGTTACGAAATAAAATATTTTTCCCGGGATAAATTTTATCGAGATAAACCTGGAAAGTAAACGATTATATCATATATAAACAAGCGTTCTGTATATAAAACAAGCGTCCTGTAGATATACGATCCATGCGCGGTGAATCCTGCAATAGCGGGTCCACGCACTTAAGAAATAATAAGTGTATTTTTTACTTCACCTTTATATTTGTTACTGTTGGCGATTCCGATACACGGTTAAGTTTCTATAAAATTATGATACTACTATAATGTAAATGTGTAATTAATAAATGTAATGTATAAAATTAATTTAAAAAATCGGAACGTAACATTTCGTCCAAATCGTTACAGTCATATTCGAGAAAGGACTAACACGAGAATCGTTCACAAGTATAGGATATAATAAAGTAGTGGACTCCATGATTCGACTCGTGATTATCGTAAAATCGTGTGAGTTGTGATAAAATATGACGAAAATCTGTCTCCGCAATTGTTTGACCAATGTTGGATAGTAACTTTCATCAAGTAATCGTAAAATTTTCGATGTTGACTATAAAATAATTTTATACAAATTATCTTGCCAACAAACATCATAACGAAATTGAGTCTAAAATAAGATAAGAAATATGGAAAGAAAACTTCCATATGAATTTTAAGAAAAAAATTCTTTCATAAAGGTGAAAAAATAGGAGATGAAGATTATAATTAAATAATAAAACATTTAATAAAATTTATAAAAAGGTTTAATAGAAGTTGTAATAAATTTTATAAAAATAAATCACCTAATAGCTTCTGAGGACAGCGCAAAATATTTTTTTAAAGTTAAACGCCCACTTCATGAAGTATGTGGAAATTATTTGATTTTATCTATTTAGTTTTGAAGTCGTTTTGTACTTTTTAATAAAAGTTTTATTTTGTAATTACCTTCATTTAATGCAATAATCATATTTTCTCGATAGAAAATGTGTTAAAATCTATAAACAAATTGTATTTGGTTTAGTTATAGGTGTAGCTTAAACGATATCTCAAGGGTCGCTTCTTCATCAATAAGTGCATCAGCCTCATGCCCGGTGTCTAAGCGTGAAATAGGTCGTGTAATAGAAAGCTAATGCGATAATCGCACGCTATGATATTAAGTTCACAATGCACTATAATAACGTTGGAGGATGTTCTCATAGCTTAGCCTATGTTATTTTAAACACGTTTCAGATATTATTAGTAAAATTTAAAATACACTTTTAGGGAATTTTAAATGAATTTGATACAGATACTAAATAAATATACAGTATCGTTATAAATGTAAATGAATAGTTTTCCAAAGTAGCGTTTTTTAGCTAATAATCATTCGCGTGATTCGCAAGACGGCTCCGTGGCGTATTGTCGCCGCGGCGCTGAAGGCCGCGGGTTCAAATCCTGCACGGAACAACTAATTGTATGGCTTACAAATAATTGTTCTTGATCGAGCTATTTTCCCTTGTGCAATTTATGTACTTTTAAACTGCATTTACGATACAGGACAAAATTATAAAGTGAAGGTAAGTTTTAAAATAAATAGTGATGAACCATTGTTCAATTATGATCACGTTGACAACTTCAGAATAACGTTTAAAGGTAGCCGCAAACACATAACTTACTATTATTCTAATAAAGGGAGCATTATAATTAGCTCTTATTCTTGTACATGTTATTGCTTACTCCTAATTTATTTTTCTATATGATTTAAAAAAAATTGAAAAATAAATTCATGTACGTCCAGGACCGTCACCGTCACCCTATAACGGGTGACGGTCCTCTGTCTAGTAGTTATACGGACTGAAAATAATGATGATATTTTCTTTCATTTACAATTCACTATTTAACATAACATTATGTATATCGCAATAATATAATTTAATTTATAATTTAATTTAGTGACAAAACTGTAAATGATTACAACTAAATACTACAACCAAAAATCTTATATAATATTCGGCGAGTCAATACAGCTAGCTGCCTGTAGTGCTATTAAGCAAGTAGTTAGATCTTATTGTCACAACCTTAGTTATGGATTGTGTAAAAATGATAATCCTATACCTTTAAACGAGCAATTTTTGTATATATATATATATATATATATTTATGGGAATCTCGGAAACGACTCCAACGATTTTCATATAATATAAGGAGTTTCGGGGGCAATAAATCGATCTAGCTAGGATTTATTTTTAGAAAATGTCTTTTTGTCCGTGTTTTTAGGCAATGAAAAACTGCTACAATATCCTTAGAATAAGAAGGTAAATTTTGACAGTTTATTAATAATTACAAATAGGTTAATTGGTATATTGGGCGGTCACAAAATCGTAATACCCATGGTTCGAGCACAGACCGACCGACCGACTTTTTTTAATTTTTTTTAAAGTTCCTTTCTTTTTTTGAGAAAATCTATTTTTTCGAGCCCTTTTTTTTAGTATTTTTTAAAAACACGAAAATTTAAATTAAACTAATTGTACTCATGATTTTTTATTCAAATAACCAGTTCAGTTTTTTCTATTATGTCGCTAAGAGCAAAAAATATTATTCGTATTTCATCAGTATGTAATTTGTATCTAAATATAATTTCCAAAACATACGAATTAAAAAAAACCGAGCGAAAAATACCGAGCAAAGCTCGGTCAACCGGGTACTTCTATATAAAAAAACAAGTGTTGAGATAAGTAAAGGTTTCACTGCGTAGATAATCTCAAATAATTTCTAAAATTTAAATAAGGTTTTCTGTACAATATTATATGTGTTTTGCCAAAAGAAAAAGAAAAAAGAAAGAAGAAAAAGAGCTTTTTTATTTTTAAGATAATCAAGATCGTAGTGACGTATTTAATATTAACTATCAGTGCCTATTAAATACGTGCACTACGATTATAAATAAATATTGAAAAACGATATCTTTCATTTTATAATTAAATCTTAAGTATTATATTTTCAGGTATACAAAATTCATCATCGAGTGGCCACCCTTTGAGTACGCGGTGCTGCTTACCATCATCGCCAACTGCGTGGTGCTGGCGCTGGAGGAGCATCTACCCAACGGCGATAAGACCATCTTAGCACAGAATCTGGTAAATTCAATTTAAACATAAAATTTTTCAATTTTTGTTTTTCTATCTATACATTATAAAATTAAAGTATCTGTCAGTAACATCGAAAAAACTGCCTTATATTGAGCTAAGGAGGCTACTTGCATGTCAATAAGACATGCTTATACAATAATGGTAATAAACAAGCACATATTCAACCTGACGGTATATGGATGCTATGGCCCACAGACATCCACATTTATTCTAAATTAAGGATCAAAATTCAAATTCATTGCCATCCCTGAGGACTAAGATGGAATGCCTTGATTCCAGTAAAAAGGGTCTCCGGTCCTCTACACTCATTATACGAAACATAGCTGCATTATGCTGCTATTTTACGCTGATATTCTTTGAGAGCGTGGTCCTGCCCCGGTAGAGCCGACCCTACAACTATAATATATCTGCAGCGTGGCTCTACCACGTAAACTACCTGTGATAATCTTCAGAATGGCTGAACCAATTGTAATGCAACGTCACCAACAGATAGAGAGCAATGCCAGCAGAATCTAGGCCATATTTTACCCGAAAAAGATTTTTATTTTTTGAAAAAATTAAACGAAACATTGATAAAATTAACCGTATTTGATTATCCTTAAATTAAAATGACACCACATTATAACATCTTAGCCAGGCTAAGTCGCTGCAGTTTGCTAGTATATATTATTATATAATATAAAATATGGGTCGGCCATAAAGTCGTTAAGGACCTAAATTAAGTTCTCAACCATTGACTTATATATTACTTCCTTTTGAAATCCTTGTTTTCAACGCACACTTCTTGATGGAACATACTTGCATTCGATTAACTAGGTGTAGCCGGTTTCCAAGTGGTGGGTATAGTTAGGGTGGCTCTAGTCTTGAAACAACACAAAGTCACGTACATTTATGTAAATAAAAAATAATCTGATATAAAAGAAAGTTTATGGCAAATGAACACACAATTATATTGAACATTTCATCAACAGAACAGAACAGGTCATCGTTCCGTTTAATAGGAGGCCACCACACGTCGTTTATTGGTACGGGGCTGCGACTTGAGAACTTTCTATCGCTATCGATTCTTCAGGGTATATTGCCGGCTCTTTGTCACATTAACTGATTCTTATGGCTGTGTCTGTCTTAGTGGCTACACGCACTGGCTGTACACTTTCATTTTCAAGTTTTGAGGTATACATGACGAAAAAATGTGTTGCAATATTGCCCAGCCGAGTTGGATCCGCCTACTTACCTCTCGCTGTTGGATTTACCCAGTGAAATACTTGTCCTTGATATACGAGTACCTACTTGTCAACAACTTTGAGCATAGTGTCACCAACTACTACCGGCATAGGTTACGTCTACGTCCGGCGTAACGATATCCATTGGGAGACACTTCTACTTTAAAAATATAAATAAATTATATATATATATATATATATATATATATATATATATATATATATATATATTGTCAGTTGATGAGATTATATTCCGATATATTGGATTTATCGTCGGCAATTCGAAGGTGAGTGAGGTACTTGCCATTCATTTTCATGTCAAATCTATTTTAATCAAATTATCATCGTCTTTCAATATAGTAACGAAGAATTTTGGTGATTTAAGCTCATTCTATCTTACACCTGTCTGCAGCCTATCTACCTCATATCTGTCTGCAGTTATATAGGTTTCATACTTTGGTTCTGTACACGGATAGCCATTGTGGCCCTACTGTATAAATTCTTCTGTACAAATTCTGTAACGAGTAAATTCATCGATACATCGTCAGTTAACTGGGCTTACTAAAGAGACTGTAGAACCGTCTGAACTTCGACGGCAAGCTTGTACAACATCATCATCATTATAGCCCTTCACAAGTTCACTGCTGAAAATAGGCCTCCCCTAAAGAATGCAACAAAGCACGGTCTTGAGCCACCTGCATCCAATGACTTCCTGCATGTCTTACCGAGTCACTCCATCTAGCCCCCCCCCTCCACACTTCACCTACCGGTACGAGTTATTGTTCATATATGCAAGAATAAATGGCAGATTGTACTATTTGCTCTTCTGTACAACTTGCCAAAGAGTATTTATTTAGCACTAAAACCGGCTTGTTTCCCGGAGACTGGATTTGTCGAATCAAGGTTCGTTAAAAGAGTGCCTTTTTAACCTAAGTATTGCATTTTAATCTCAGCGCTCATCACTAAGAAACCACCTCTAATTTTCTTGCCGGGGAAAGAAATTTGATTTTCGTTGATTTTTTTATAGGGTCAAAAAAGCATGTGGCTCACCTGATGGTAAGTGTTTACCATGAACAATTGCAACACCAGGGGAATTTCAGGTGCATTGCCAGCCTTACAGAAAGGAATAAGCTCTTTTCTTAAAGGTCCCTAAGTTATATCGGTCCGAAAAAATCGCCGGTGGTAAATTACTCTACAGAGAAGTTGTACGAGGATGAAACCTCCTTGTAAAACGCACAGTGTTGAAATACCAAGCATCTGAAAGGTGAGGATGGTATAGTGAATTTCGACGCGATGTGCAGTCGTAAAATTTGATGGCAGGAATAAATGAGAGCGAACAATTCCTCAGAGCACTCCCCGTGGTAGAAAATGATATTTCGACGCCAAGGATTCTGATCCCAACTGAAGCAGCAAGGAGAGTGCCATGAAACTGAGGAAATAATACAAAGGGATTCTCTTTAGCGGTAAACGTGCGAACTTGTGTCTTCTGGGCATTGAACTGGACTAAATTTAGTTGCTCAGCAAAGACTTAACTTCAGACACAAGTTTTTCCCGAGAAATATTGGCATGGCCGGTGTATAAGGTATCATCAGTGCTGTCGTCTGCATAGAAATGAATGTTACCAGTTTGTCATATATCATTGACATGCAGAAGAAACGGCGTTGGTAACAGCACGTAGCCATGTGAAACACCAACGTTAATATGCTTGTAATTGGTAACAGCACGTAGCCATGTGAAACACCAACGTTAATATGCTTGTAATCAAAGCATGCACCGTCTACTACGACCTTGATGCTCCGATCAGCAAGAAGACTGAAGATCCAATTGCACAATTTCTCGAGAAGCCCATAGGAAAGGAGCTTTGAAAGAAACACTTTGTGCCAGGTTGGATCGAAGGCCAACTATGTCCAAACTAACGGCTAATGACGGCCTTGGACTCTACGGCCTCCGCCCATCTATGAGTGAGGTAGACCGGAAGATCTCCAGCTGATTGACCACAGTGAAAACTGTATTGGCGGTCACTAATCAGCTGGTGATCCTCAAGGTACCGCATGAGCTGGCAGTTTATAATGGACTCCATTATTTGGAGAACAAAGAGGTGATGACGATTGACCGGCAGTTGGATGGGTCTGAGCGGTCGCCATTTTTAGGGATCGGGTGGATCATAGCTTTCTTCCGTGAGTGCGGAATTATGCCTTAGGAGTAGGAGAGGAAGGCGCGTTAAGATGGGTGCCAACTATGGAGCACCCCACTCGACTTGCTGACGTCCAGGGAGAGGAGTGATTTGTAAACCGAGCGCTGTATAAACCGCACATTGGGCATGGAGCACTCACACCGCAGGAATATTAGCGGTATATTTCCCGTCATCGAGAGTCAAGATGGGCGCAAATAGAGAGTAACTGATCGGCTTTCACCTTTGCGGCATCGACCAGTGATTCGTTCTCTCTGTTAAGAAATGGACTGACGGAAGTTCCCTTGGACAGCCTTGGCAAGAAACCAGAATGCACGGTTCCCAGAAGGAAGGCGAACTAGCTTCTCGCCAATTCTGCCGCCGTGTTCGTGTTTGCAAAGAAAGACCTCATCCTATCCGAATCAGCCGACCTACAGTGCAAACACGGCGGCAGCCTGCAGAATGTAACTGCGATGTTAGTGTGAGTGGTACCACACTCCGGACAAAACAACGGTCCGACATGCCCAGAGGAGCGTCAACGGAAACCTGATATCCATCCGTATGGGAGGTCAGCAGAAAGTTCAACAGAGAAGGTGCATGATTCTCCACATCTGGAATCCGCGTAAGCGAAGTAAACAGCTGTGTAAGACTATATGCCACGGCAAAGTCATAAAGAGATCTCCCCGCATGATTGATTAAACGTGAACATGAGCCATTCAGCGTGGTGGGCGTTAAAATTGCCAATGATCATGATCTCTGCGGATGAGATCCGCTGTAGCAAGGAATCTGTAGCCATGTCACACTACTCCATATCGTGAAGAGTATGTCGTTAGCGACGACAGAAGCAAACTGAAAACAGGAGATAGGCAGCAGCATCTTCCTGATAATTTAAACGCCTGCCAAACGTGGCAATTATGGTAAAGTCTCCTCTATGTTCAGGTTCCGCTCCGTTTTGCGATCTGTTTTGATTGTGTTTGCGATTCAAATCGGCAATAGTCAACATAATATTTCTTATAATATTTACACGTATATATCAAGCATATAATATAAAAAATCGAATTTAATCACGTCCACTTTTAAGTTATTTTATGTATACTTAACATTTTGATTACTTTATAGCACCTATAGATCCACTTACACTACTGCCACATACCTAATTAATTCTATTTAAATGCTAAAAAACTATATTCGTACATCATTCATCATCATTACAAATTATCAAAAGTTTACTGCCGAACGTAGGCCTACCCCAATAGATTGTCTTATTGACGGCGGGGACGGGGACGGGGATATTAGCCATAGTTGCCACGCATGGCAAGCGAGTTGACAATAAATGGTGTAGTGGATTCTTTTACGCTGCCACAAAAGACAATAATCGCACAAATATAAGAAACCAACACGTTAACTCTTCACTTCTTTCTTTACCTCATTAATTAGTGCGATCTTATCTAAGTTTACTAAACAAGGCGATTACAGTAAACTTGTGAAAAGCAAACCAGTGGCAGTTTGCAAGCTATTGAGAATAATTAACATTGATTATATAGTACAGTACTATTTATTACTAAGCATCGTTTTTTGTTTGTTACAGGAAAAAACCGAGGCGTATTTTCTAGGAATATTTTGCGTAGAAGCCTCGTTAAAAATATTAGCCTTAGGTTTTGTTTTACACAGGGGATCGTATCTTAGAAACGTTTGGAACATAATGGATTTTTTCGTTGTAGTAACTGGGTAAGTCATTGTTATATTATTTTTGTAGTTTTAATAGTGTATCTACATCAAAAGTTCAATCGATTTTGGCCATGTTATTTTCTTTAAAATCGAATTTGGTTATTTTATTGTCAAAATTATAAAGGATTTTTAAAATGAACATTATAGTCACCTGAGATTAGCAACATAGTAAAAATTAAATTCGTATTGCGTAGAATATGAATTTATTTGATAGGGAGAGGTCATTTCTGTCATTATTGAAACATTCGATACCAAAAAATAGGTCGATGACAATATTCGCCGAATACAACGTCGACGTTGACCTGCGGATGCTGCGCTCGTTCAGAGTGCTGCGACCTTTGAAGCTCGTCTCGCGGATACCAAGTAATTCACAGTAATTGGCGAAAGTTCACATAATAACTACCTTTATTATATAGAACATTCTCGCTAGAAATTTTTGATCTTCGAACTTTTTGACGTAGAGGAACTATGTCTCTAGTTTTGATAATATAGTTTTTTTTTCTTTTAATTCTTAGTGAGAATGTAGCATCAATTTCTTGCAATTTTTGAGAAATTCGTTTACACTTTAGAGATGTGTTAATTTTGAACAATTTTAATGGACAATGTTAAATGTACGTAATTTGAATTTCGGCTATTTTACGTGTTGCATAATAGTAAAAACTTGCTATTGTTTTATTGTGTATTGTGTAGGTATTCCAAATAAAGGCTAAATGTAAGAATTTAGTTCAATCAATTATATAGGTGTGAATAAACATGGCGCATTTAGATTAAAACTTTTATGATTTAACGTGTGAATAATATGGTAATTAATTAGACATAATACCTAGACAGTAGAGAATAAGCTAGTGTGTGGTCATAAATTGTAAATTTGTAATGAAGGGTTGTGTTTGTTAGATAAAAATTTATTGCCATTTCAATAATCAACCGGGCGAAGAAAATTGGATATTTCGTAAGCTTTGTCAAACACAATCCTTGGTAGTAAGTTTATTTTAAGCTAGCTGCTAGTGCAGGCTATAGTACCGAGTGATGTGTGTTTGGCAGTATCATCACGCTGCTGCCCGCGGTCGCGCCCGAAGTCGACTTCAGGACCTTGCGTGCCATTAGGGTGCTGAGGCCCCTTAAATTAGTATCGGGCGTTCCTAGTGAGTTCTAGAACATTATTAGTTTAGCATTTGTAGTCTTACCATTTGCTGTTGTAAAAAATCCATTTTAATATTTAAAGTAATCTATAAACATATTTTATTGATGAAATGAAACATAATTAACATTTCCGTATTTATTTAATTCTAAAAATTAACAAAAATTTTCAACTTTATAGGTGAAAATGATTATGAAAAATTGAATGATATATACATATGAATTGTATATGAAAATCAATAAAGAGTGCATTTCGCTTAATAAGAAAATCTAATATTATTTGGAAATTATACAACAGCATAATATCAATGTTCGTCGTGCACGTGATTTTCATCTTTGACTTGTTGATGTCTTACTATTTTCATCGTTATTTTTTGCCTTCAGATTTTTATCATTTGTTTGTATGATTATAATTCTTGTGCATAGTGACATTAAATACACTCTCTTTCATTTTTATTGCATAAATATTGATAATTTTAATAACAGTTTTACATATTTCGTCAAATCATCAATTCGTAACATGTCATCTAATCTTTCTAAAGACTATTTCTTTTAAACATCATTACACACGACTTATTGTTGATTCTAACCATTAATTACGTACTATTTTTCTGTGTATAGGTTTGCAAGTTGTATTGAAGTCCATCATCAAGGCGATGGCCCCGTTGCTTCAGATCGGCCTTTTGGTGCTTTTTGCGATTGTTATATTTGCCATCATTGGCCTCGAATTTTATTCCGGGGCGCTTCATAAGACTTGTTATAGTTTAGAAGATATTAGTAAGTATTTTAATTTTTTTTTATATTTTTCTTAAAGTTAGGGTATTAAAGACACACACACACACACACACACACACACACACACACCTATTATTTAAATCTTTGTGGGAATTTTTTGAGACCGGACCCGATCTGATGCTTAATTAGATTCGCTTTCTTTTTTTTAATAAATTCTATACCAGTAAACTGGCAAGTTGGTGACATTTTGACTTTAATGAACGAACTTTTGTAACGATCAAAATTTATAATAATAAATCACCGAAGTCGTTGGAACATGATGTTCTTATTTCAGAGCATGAATGAACAAAAGCTATGTGCACCGCAATTTCACGTGCCTTAAATATTTTTTTAACCTGGTTAATAGGAAACAAATTAGTTTAGTTACAATAGATGACACAGTTTGAGAACGAATTTTCGGGTTCATTACTTTAACAGAAACGAAATGTAGATTTATTTCATCAAGAGATGAGAAACATTAAAGTCCGCAGTAGCTGCCTTCCGTACACTTCAACTAACGTTTCAATACCGCAATTGCTAAGCATTTAAATGCCACGCTGCGACCGAAACTTCGAATTCCGTACGGAACATTTAAAAAAATAGAATAAGGGTGACTCATAAGCACATTATCTGCCTAGTGATAAGTTAATGTTGTGGCTTATACTTTACTCAGACACCTACATCTATTCTCTATTAAGAATCAAAATGAAGATACGTTCCTTACACTTATGAGTACCATACCATACACAGCAGCATTGAGCTGTTATTTTACGCTGATGTCTTGTGAAAGCGTGGTCCTTCCCCGGTTGAATCGACTCATTCGTGCTACGAACGTAATGTAGCTGCATAATGGCTATACCACGTTATACTTTGTTTGGGCTACAAATAGTTGGTCATGTCTGCACGTTTTTAAATTAAGAGAAGGATGTTTCAGTTGACGATAGTCCCGCAATGAGCTCTCGTAGTTAAGATTTTGTAATTTATATAATAAAATCTATAGTATACATGACACGGAAATTTTTCTTCGAGCCACGTTCCGCATCTTTACATTGATGAACAGAATTTCTTGCTGCTTAGTACTTGTACTTGTTTACTAGAATTTTTAATGTGTCTATCAAAATTAATAAAAACTAAATTACGATAAAATCTTCTTGGTGTGAAAAGTGTAGACTAATCCAAAAAATATTTCATATTGATTTCTTATGTTTACGCGAACACTATACAATGAAGTAAAATTATTTTTTACGGATTTTGCCGCGTAAATCAACTCATTTTTAATTACCGATGTGTCGAGTACTTTACAGCACCCGTGTCCACGGGGGGGGGGGGACTGAACTCTTTGACGTCCTAATGTCATAGTTAACTGCTATTGTCTGTGAACACGTACAGGATCGCGCCGTCACTACTACAGGTTTGATAGATTACAAATCCTCGTTAAGTAACACCGATTCTCTTCAAGGATGATTCTCCTCTATTGAAAAAATCCTAATTTAAATAGAGAACACACACAACCCAAGCATACAATTGCAAGACTTCAAGATACTATAAGCTCATTCTGCGTAGATTTGACGAAAAGTTCATAATTTTAAACTGAAGTTAGCTGTGGTGAACTATGATATTGGGACGACAAACATCTCTGTTCCCCCGTGACTATGGGTGATTTAAAATACTCGAAATGTCGGAAGTATAATTAAAATAAGTAAATATACGCGATAAAATCCGTAAAAATTACTTTAATTTCAGTAATAATTTATATTCTTATTTCAAATTTTAGATGAAATAGTGAATGAAGGTGAGAATCCAACGCCGTGCAATGCCGACAATGAAACGGTGGCACCTCCGGGCGCAAACGTATGCGCTGCAGACAAGAGTACATGTCTAGAAAAGTGGGAAGGGCCAAATCGCGGCATCACGTCGTTCGATAACATCGGCTTCGCTATGCTCACCGTCTTCCAGTGCATTACCATGGAGGGCTGGACATCCATCCTCTACTGGGTAAACCGTGTTGTTTTTTTGAAATAATTTATGAGCTGCTTGTCTTATTTCGCTTGTTAATCTTATTTGTGTAAATAACTATCATATAAATTTACAGTCGTTATCAATTACGAGATTAGATCGTCTTGTTATATACATATAACTAAATAAATTGTAATACATATCTGAAATGTTATGTCTTACGAAACTCATTTCATAACTTTTTATGCTTGTTTCAGACAAATGATGCATTAGGTAGTATGTTCAACTGGATATACTTTGTACCTCTCATAGTATTGGGTTCATTCTTCATGCTCAACTTAGTTCTCGGTGTCCTTAGCGGGTAAGTTTCCAGAACTGATTCAAGTATTTAAAGCGCTGTTATTTTATTTTATTATTTGTTGTGTTCTTTTTATTTCTATATCATTAAGAATAAATTTTTGGGTAAAATGCAGTGAATTCTCTAATGAAAGAACCAGAGTCGAGAGACGAGCTCAATTCCAAAAGGAAAGAGCTCGCCAGATGTTTAATCAAGATTTCACAGCATATATCAATTGGATAACAGAAGCAGGTTGGAATATGATGAATAATTGTGTAAATAATTACGCTATTTATATAAAATGCCTGTAGATAATTACAAGTGGTAATTAAATTTCATGTACATTTATTTTGGTTGTTTTTGTTGTTTATACTATGGTAAGCTATTTTTATGATTACTATATTTTATTTTTTACTTTTAAAAACTAAAGAATAATTTGAAAAGTAAAGATGTCGGATGTTATTGAGTACAATTCACTGTTTAACATTTGCCAGATAAAGGCAAATTTGTAATAATAATGCTTAAGTTTTCAAACGCTACTCAATTTTAAGACATTATTAAATCTTGTGGTGTTACAGTGATTTTTACATAAAGTGACAGAAAAAGTCATAAGTAAAATAATAAAATATTTACATACATAAATGTTGGCAACAAAGAAGTAATTAAGCAATTTTTAAAATCAGAAAATTTTAAAGGCATTTATTTCAATTATATTATTATTTAATGTTGTTGAATTCACAATAGCATAGTAAAAACAGAATAGTAGGTTATCTCCTAATAAATGTACCGAAAGCCGCTAATATGTGTGCGTGCCTAACACGTGACAGTATGGACTCGTACGCAGGAGCCACAGCACGCACACAATGAGACTTGCTAAGCCGGAAAGTACCGAAAGCCGCTAATATGTGTGCGTGCCTGGCAAGTGACAGTACGGACTCGTACGCAGGAGCCACAGCACGCACACAATGAGACTTGCTAAGCCGGAAAGTACCGAAAGCCGCTAATATGTATGCGTGCCTGGCACGTGACAGTACGGACTCGTACGCAGGAGCCACAGCACGCACACAACCACACTTGCTAAGTCGGAAAGGTCTGGCAGATACGGGGACTTAACTTTGTTTTAGACTTTATTGACTTTTAATAAAATTTTGCTAGCAGTCTTTTTTTCATTTTATTGTTTCTTTTTGTAAAATAAATTAATATATGCATACATAACTCATAATTACAATAAATTAATTTTAAACATTAAATCTGAGCTGGCACCATATGCTTAGTGTTAATTTACTGGTATTTTAGTTGTTTGGCCTTTGTTGTAATGTAAAGCTAGATTTTTTTGACAAAAATTGATTCTATGAGAAGAAACTAAGGAAATGATTAACAAATATGATCTATAGGTATGTTTACCAACATAATACATGTGGATGTATTATGTTTGTAAATATTATAACTACTTATAAAATTAAATGAGACTTAGCTGTAATCAAAAAGATAGTGACAACCCTGCAACAGTAGGCATTTAAGTCTCGCGCGGCGCGGGAGTGATCCTACTATTCTGTTTTTACTATGACAATAGTCTTCTCATTAACAATTGTATTATTATAAAGTTGACGAATAATATTTTTGAATTTGTAACTCTAAGACTGATAAGCGAGCAATTGCTAAAATCATCAGGCTTAGGTAGTAGCCATACTAGAGAATCTCGCTAGTTTAAGTTAGATCAGGATCAACGCCGACCACTTTTAAAGCAAAAAATTGGCACCGCGAGTTTCATTTAAACCCAAATGTACTTATGAATCAAAAATAAATCGCTGCCACCACGCTATATGAGTATCATGTTGATTTTTAAATACTTAATTTCAGTAAGGTTTATATTAATAACATTTTAATAAGTTACTTAAGAACATACATATATAAAACAAAAACAAAATAAGTTTCTCATTACATTTCTGTCAACTGGATAATCCCAATCATTTTAAGTGCACTAATACTATACATTAAATTAAACTAATTTTATAGATTATATATCGTTTAAATTATTTAAAACTGTCTCTAGTCACCATGACGTTGAAAACCTTAGTCGACCGTAGATGCTGCAAAGTACTCTTATTATTACTGAAGTACTAAACCTGAGGAATGAAGAAAAAAATACAATCAAACTCGATAAAGTCAGTAACATTAGTTTCGTACAACACGTAATAATAACTTCTAACGAAATTGTCGACTAATTCAATATATCAGTTTAAAATGTAGATGCGCTACTCTAATATTGGTTAATATATATAGCTACACATTCACTAAAAACAATACTAATGAAAACAATTTCTGTAGTAAGTAATTTCGACATACTATGCTAGCCATAGCTAAGTTATAATTAGATTTAAAGTCGCAAATACATAACATAAACATGTAATAGTTGCTAGAATATTATAGAGTTCACGCTATTTTGCAGTGAATTTGCTAAAGAAAGAGAGAAAGTAGAAAATAGGCAAGAATTTCTTAAATTAAGAAGACAGCAGCAATTAGAAAGAGAACTCAATGGTTATGTTGAGTGGATTTGTAAAGCAGGTAAGAATAATCATTTACTATTCTCTGTTTTTTTTTTGTATTTTTGCGGATTGATATATGTACTAAATTTAAAATAATACCTTTTTTATTTATAGAGGAAGTTATATTAGCTGAAGAAAGGACTACAGAAGAAGAAAAAATGCACATAATAGAAGGTAATAATAAAAATGAATAAATTGTAATTACAAATAACCGTTGCATTAATATCTTAATTTCGCTGGTTTTTCGCCGTGCGGTAGTTACATATAGTTACATGTAGTTACATATAGTTACATATACACCTACATGAAAATTTATTAGTAGCGACTAGCTACTTACGGAAAAATTATCTGGTGACTTCCGATAGATGGCGGTATCACCATCTCTTATTAACTAGATCAGCAAAGGGAAGTGACACCAAAGGTGCGAGATTCTAGTATCATTTGAAAATAGTATGCGAGAAGTCCAACTGTGGACTGTTTATGAACTGATGAAGAGAACAAAATTTCCCTTTACAAAACATATCTTCAAATTATTTTTGACTATTATAAATCTTGTAATTCTTATTTTTCTATTATTAACAGCGCGAAGAAGAGCGGCAGCCAAGAAAAAGTTGAAAAATCTTGGTAAAAGTAAAAGTACAGATACAGAAGAGGAGGAACAGGATGAAGATTGTGGTGATGACGGTCAGTATACTACATTCAAAATTTTGTGTGATTGTTTTGTGCTGTGTGTTGTGTACTCTAAGTTTACATCTTTTACTGTTATTACAATTACACACAAACAACTTGTAATAATTTGCGTTAATTGGGACGTTAATTTCTTTTTTCTTTTTTATGTCATTATTAGTGATAAAATAGATTAATTTGTTATCGAAAGATGCTAGCTAAGTAAATTTCAAGGTATACATACATAAATAGATAGCTAAGTATATCATTTCGTCCATTAGACTACTTTTTTCTTGCATGCTTTATTGTATTTTGTGTCTATAAACTATTTCTTATCCATTTCATTCCGTACGGTGATGTATTTGTGTGTTGGTTGTTTACAGTTCCAAAGAAAAAGCAAGGTATGGGATCAAGCGTGATTCTGGTAGAATATTCCTTTTCATTTTCTACGTAGTCGAATTAGTTTAGTTGTAGCTATAGGCTTAGCAACCCCTCTGAACCGGTCAAATTATGCCACCATATCTAAAATCGGTTTTTTCCTCTAGTATTTTAGTTTATGTGCACTATAGTACAATAAGAACTATAACAGTAACATGACAAAAAAATTAAGTCCCAGGGATTTAGTTACATGTAGTATAAAATTTTGTTTAACAATTCAAAGTTACCTTAAAACGTAACGAGTAGTATTATTTACCCTTTCAAATAACACTACGTAACGTATCTTAAGAGGTTAAATAATATGATAAAACCAGAGTAAAATAATACCCCAATATAAAAAAAATACTCATTTTGTGGTTTGCGAAGTCTAAGATCTAGTTTTGTTCACTTTTTTTAATAAAATAATGAAGATGTCTACAAATATGACAATTACGAATATTTCCTCTACAAGTTTCTAAAATCTTGAGTATTTTCTAACATTACTATTTGAAACAGGGTTTCTGAAAAGCAAAGCTCGTTCCGCCGGCAAATGTGCAGATTTTTGGCGGGCAGAGAAGAGATTTCGATTTTGGATCAGACACACCGTGAAAACACAATGGTTCTACTGGTTCGTCATCGTTCTGGTACTCTTCAATACAATATGTGTTGCAGTTGAACACTACGGTCAACCCCCGTGGCTGACTTCGTTTTTATGTAAGTTTTATTATAATTTTAATGTAGATGAATTTCAATAATTAAAAAGAAATCATACAATTATTTTATTGTTTGCTCACAGATTATGCTGAATTTGTTTTTCTTGGGCTATTCATGATGGAAATGTGGGTAAAAATGTATGCGTTAGGCCCACGAATATATTTTGAATCATCGTTTAATCGTTTTGATTGCGTTGTAATATCCGGTTCCATATTCGAAGTAGTATGGTCGGAAGTTAAAGGCGGATCTTTTGGTCTTTCTGTTCTTAGAGCGTTAAGATTGTTACGGATTTTCAAGGTAATTAACTAAACACTTAGCTACTCGATTTTTTATCTTGAGTGAAGTTAAATACAAATATGTACTAAATTTTAGGTTACAAAATACTGGTCTTCGCTGCGCAACCTCGTAATTTCCCTCCTTAATTCTATGAGATCTATCATTTCATTGCTGTTTCTTCTATTCTTGTTTATACTCATATTTGCTCTACTTGGTATGCAATTATTCGGGGGGCAATTTAACTTCGAAGATGGCACACCACCGACCAATTTCAACACTTTTCCTATTGCTCTACTCACCGTATTCCAGGTATGAGATTTTATATTATAAATAATTATTACATTTGTATTCATATATCACAAATAATAATTCGTTTTATTGTATAATGATATTTGCTAATTGTAATATAACATAATGTTAAGCTTTTTTGCCAAATTGTGGCGGCGTTAGAAAATTTCAGAGCCTATTTAAAAAAAAAAGAGGGTGATAAGTAAGCACACGGTCCACCTGATAGGAACTAGATGCTGTAGCGTAAAAAAAACCTGAGTCTATCATCGATTAGGAATCAAAATACAGATACACTATTACCTCTGAGGACTAAAACGGAATACCATACGATGTACACCAATGCTGCTATTTCTTGCTGATATCATCATCACAATTCATTTTAGATGATACTTTTTAATCGTGATCCTTCTCCGGTCGAGCCCAACCATTCGTGCTGCAGCTATATTATACTGCAGCGTGGCTCTAACACGTAACAATATCCTGCAGGGAAACGCTTATTGGCTTAGGGCAAGGAGATTATATTATGTGTAATATTAAAAAAGAAAGGGTCGGATCGACCGGGGAAGGACCACGCTCTCATAGAATACCAGCGTAAAATAGCATCTTGAAGCTGTTGTGTTTCGCATGGAGAGTGCATAGAACTGGATACCCGTTTAACAGGCATCGAGGCATTCCGTATTAATCCTCAGGGGTGACAACGCATCTGTATTTTGATTCTTAATCGAGGTTAAATGTAGATGTCTATGGGCCACAGCATCCACTTACCGTCATGTGAACTGTATGCTCGTTTGTCACCCTAATTCTATAAAAAAAAATGTTTTCTCCACCACATCACGTCATTATTATTCATTTTATTTGTAATGACTTTTTTCTTCTTTTATAGATCTTAACAGGTGAAGATTGGAATGAAGTAATGTACTGCGGTATACAATCGCAGGGTGGCACACAGTCGGGAATGCTCTATGCTTTGTACTTTGTCATACTTGTACTGTTCGGCAACTACACACTGCTGAACGTGTTTCTTGCCATCGCGGTGGACAATCTGGCAAATGCACAGGTAAAGTTTTCTAATGCCACTTTTCTATTCTCTGGAATTAAGTATGTACAGATCGTCAAAAGAGTTCAAAGCGTGACTAATAGAACTGGATGTTTGTTGTGTTTTGATGTCAATGCTAATTGTATATGACGCCGCTACCTGCATAAATGTGGCTGTTCTGTGTTTCCAGGAGCTAACAGCAGCAGAAGAAGAGCAAGTGGAAGAGGATAAAGAAAAACAGCTACAAGTAAGTTTTCAGCGCTTATATTATATTTGTCATGTTAATTTATCCATTCTCCTAGAATGTTCTGTTCATACTCTATGGTATTTGACTGTAGTTAATCACAACTTCCGTACTTGAGCACTTATTGTCAAAATTGTATAAAAATTGTTAAACGGTTGTTGTATGGATTGTATAATGCGAGTTTATGCAAGTAAAGCTAAAATTTTATTTCATACGACAACCTCTGTTTCGGCTAATTAGGAATTGGAGAAAGAGATGGGTGCATTACACGCGGTGGATGGAACTCCACCTCGAGTAGACATAAGTCCTACATCAGCGGCAAGTAGGAAGGTAAAAGAAGTCGGTGGTGGTACTCAGTTATGCTTACTGTGTGCTTTGGTTTAGACAGTGTAAAATATTGTTTTATTATTTCCATTCGTGTATTCATATTCTCCAACGTATATTAATGAGTTTTTTATGCAGATTCTATATTTTTTTAATTATATTTAAGGAATTTATTTCAGTTATATTAATAGATTTTACTTGCTTGTAGCCTTTTTACTTGAAATATTAAAGATAACAAATGTTAGTGCATAGTGAGTCACTATTAAAATGGAATGTTTGAATTAAGCTACGAGTACTTATTTAAAATTAACAATATTTTTGTCCTTGTCTAAAAAAGAGTAATTCAGTGTCGCTTTTGTAAGTCAAAATGGATGGGAAATATTGTTTTACAGAATGACAATTTTTTAGAAAAATTATGTTTCTTTTTTAATTGAATTATTACTACAAATTTTAATATTTTAATTTTGGCATTGGCTTAAGAGTTTTATGGCGCTATCATTTATGAATATAATATTAGAAGACGAATGCATGCTGGTAACAAAATGTACATATTAGTTTTAAAGAATTGTATGGGATTTACAAATTACTTTTTGTACATAGCTAAAAAGAATTTAACCAACGCTTATCGATCATAATATGTTTAAATGACAGAATACAGTTTTTATTATAGATTTATTATGTACGTTTACTAATATCATACATTAAGCGTACTAATTGTAGAATGGTGGGTATAATGAAATTCGTAGTGAGGTTGCAAGCAAAAACAAAACTATACCCTTATCATATCCGATATGTGTATTTTGGCATGCGATTTTATGGAAACAACTTCTACTCATACTTAAATTATTTCTTATGTGTTACATGTATTTGACAGTCTATAATAATGGAATGAAATAAGGGTATATTTTTGTTTACCTTTTGTCTCATATTTTGTTGATTGAATTACAATATTTTCAGAACAAAAAGAAAGAAGAGGCCAAAAAGGAAGAAGAAGAGATACCAGATGGACCAAAACCAATGCTGCCATATTCGTCCATGTTTATTTTATCACCAACTAATCCGTAAGTAAATAATCACAGAAATGTTTGATAATAACTTATGTACAAATATATGAAATATTGAACATTTTAAATTCTATTCATTACAGAATTAGGCGAGGCGCACACTGGGTTGTAAATTTAAGATATTTTGACGTTTTTATCATGTTAGTTATATGTATGAGTTCAATGGCTTTAGCGGCAGAAGATCCAGTAGTTGAAGAAAGTGAAAGGTAACTTCAAATTGTAAAATAGAATTATTACTAAGTGTTTTCGGTAAAGGTTATAATTATAAACACAAGTTAAATTTTATTGGTTTTATAATATACCACATACCAGTATATTACGAGTTTAATGGAGTTATATAAATGAATACCTCATTTTGTGAACCATTTTGTTTTTGCAAGTTAATTAGAATTAATTTATTAATTAAATGTCTTTTCTATTTCTTATAGAAACAAAATCCTTAACTACTTTGACTATGCGTTCACGGGAGTGTTCACCGTGGAGATGCTGCTGAAAATCGTCGACCTCGGCATTCTATTCCACCCGGGCGCTTACTTGCGCGATTTATGGAATATCATGGACGCTGCCGTCGTCATCTGCGCGCTTGTTAGCTTCGGTTTTGAAATCGGGTACATTTTGATTTTTAAAGATTTTGCTTGCTTTATTTTTTATAGTATCTGAGTTATCGAACTCTCGACGTTAGAGTAAAAAATATGATTATGTCATTGAATAGGATTAACTGCAGTCGCCAGCCATTACTAAGTAGGGTAACTTAGTAATAGCTGGTCACTACGGTCGTTGAATGTTAATTGTGTCATCTTAGTGTAAACATACACTCGCTAGCTTTACAAAATACAAGTTATAAAATCGGTTATGATTTTGCGCTAAAAAGTTCAGGCAGTCTTTCATCATGTTGATTTTATATTAAAATAGAACATGGAAATAGTAAAATTATACTGCCTTAAACCTTTATACAAAAGCAGCGTGGATTATGAATAATATTTTTCAATATTATATTAAGAAAAACAGCAGAAAGTCCACATTATGGAAAGTGGCTATATCGGACCATCGATACATGTAATTTTACACTACGAAGCCCAACATATTTCAAACATCACCCTGACGACTAAGATTGAATGCTTACTGCCTGTAATTGTACGGGCTTATTTACTTTTTAAACTGGAACATAGCAGTATGTGCTCTGCTGCTTAACAGTAGAAATAAAGTTCTTTTATTGTTTCAGAGGTGTGAAGAAAGGAGCGGGTCAGAATCTGTCTACAATAAAATCGTTAAGAGTTTTAAGAGTGCTTAGACCATTAAAGACTATAAAGCGTGTTCCAAAATTAAAAGCAGTGTTTGACTGTGTCGTGAACTCTTTGAAAAATGTCATTAACATTCTCATAGTGTACATATTGTTTCAATTCATATTTGCTGTAATTGCAGTTCAACTTTTTAATGGTAAATTTTTTAACTGCAACGATATCAGTAAGAATACTCTTCAAGACTGCCAGTAAGTATTTCTTTATGTAAATTAATACTGTTACTTATATTTTTTATGACTATGAGAATAACCCTTCGCATAAAGTGTATTTATTTTCCCTATCCGCGATATATACAAAATAGTTAAATATTCCAAATGTTCATATATAACTAATGGGACAGGAAAAGTGTTAATAATGATAGCAGTGAAAGTGTTAATGCATACATTAGGAGTATAGTTTATTTTATTTAGTAATGTAATGTGTTATCGATTTATTAATAATTTATAGCTGCTAGCTGCCTAAGGTGTCAAACTCTTAGATTTGGATTTTAGTCAAATGAAAGTATTTATATGTTTTTAGATGTGTGTATATAGTTTTGAGATGGAAATAAAGGTGGGTCATTTGAATTTTAGCAAAAGAAGCTAGAAATAAATCAACCCAATTCATCATTCATCACCTGCACACTTAAATTAACGCTATATTGTTTTCGCAGAGGGTCGTATTTTGTCTACGAGGCGAACAGTCTGCTACCGCGAGTAGTCAAGCGGAAGTGGGATACACAGTCCTTCCATTATGACAACGTAGCGTCAGCGATGCTAACGCTTTTTGCAGTACAAACTGGAGAAGGGTGGCCACAGTATGTAACATAATGCATATATATTAACAGTTTATAAGGAATTTTGAGAACGTGGTAGCTACGTTGCAACTATATTATTATATAGTTGCAGCTTAAATATGTTGGCTCGACCGGCGAAGGACTGCACTCTCACAAAATACCAGCATAAAGTAGCAGCTTTATGATGTTGTGTTTTGTATGAAGAATGTAGATAACTAGAGACAATTTTATAGGTAACGACGCATTCTATCTTAGCCATCATGGGTATACGCGTATTTTAATACTTATTCGAATGTTTTATTCGAATTCTTTCGAATAAAAAATTCGAATAAGAATCGAATTCGAAAAAATTAATGTACATATCCATAGGGTACAGCATCCTTTTACCATTAAGTGGACTGTGTGCTCATTTGTCATACTTATTCTATAAAAAAATTCTCCTTCTTCATATGCCTTTCTTGAAGATATGATAAAATTTTCCAATGACGTAATAATGTAACTTCCGCATTCCAGCCTTTATGAAACAAATTAATAATATTAGAAGTATTATTAAATGCATATTAGTGATTTTAAAACATATGTGAAACAGTATAAAAGATTGTAGAATTTAGTATATTGATTATTTACGTTAATTATTGTTCATAAAGTAAAAAATTAATGCCACATTATTTTACAGAGTGTTGCAAAACTCAATGGCGGCAACCTATGAAGACAGGGGACCCATACAAAATTTTCGAATAGAAATGTCCATATTTTATATAGTTTACTTTGTGGTGTTTCCATTCTTCTTTGTTAACATATTCGTAGCCCTTATAATTATAACATTTCAAGAGCAGGGTGAAGCTGAATTACAAGATGGTGAAATTGATAAAAATCAGGTGCGTCCTTCTAATTTATGTATGGATTCCATATTTTTTTTTTAGTTATAATAAATCTGAGTCATGGATAACTTACCTCGAATTATTACTTTACAGAAATCTTGTATCGATTTCACGATAGAAGCTCGACCTCTTGAGAGGTATATGCCAAGCAAACGTGGAAGTTTTAAGTACAAAGTGTGGAGAATAGTAGTTTCTACGCCCTTCGAATACTTCATCATGACTCTAATCGTCCTTAATACTTTGTTACTCATGATGAAGGTATGTATTTTATAATTTTAAATAATATTAAAATTTGATTATACAATACATTGTAATAAGTTATTGTCTTCCAATACATTAAAATGACATTATTGTAATGAAACACTTCCGTCATGAATAATCGAGACGAAAATAATCAACGATAACAGCACGTAGTTAAAGATCACGTCTAAAGGTAGCAGTCACAGAGAATATTTAACTATAAATCACAAAGCACGTACAATTTTATGTTTGATGGTATCTGAATAAATGTTGTGCGTCAGCTTAAACTCGGCCTTTCCAGAGAGTAAAATATTTTTATTGATCGTTTAACAGTTCGATTAAATTCTCTCTGGTTTGGTGACATGTGTCGTGTTTTTCGTTTGTATGTCTGTTAGGGCTAATAAACAAGTCTGATTAGTCTCAGACTGTACTGTAACATTCTCGAGTTTTAATATCTTTCAAACGAATATTAAATACGTGAAATAGTAAATAAATTTATACAGCGAATTGACAAACGCTAGTACTGCCTACATATCTCATTACATTATCACTTATTCACACTGTACATTAACAAATTTACACACACATTCAATATACAGCCTACTATTTTATCAACAGTACACGTACTGCTATGGAATGCGCCATCAAAAGTCTGACTGAGCCTATCCCTTTATTGTACTACCAGGACTATTTGTTTTTATTTATTTTATTTTATTTTGTTACGTGAATCGTTTGTGACTCTTGCTTGCTGTAACTGATATATATGTATGTATTAATAATATTATATATGTAATGCACTGCATACTAAACTTCCTGCACATCTGATGCACAATGAAAAAAAAACACGTTTCAAATTGTTGGTGCTTCTAAATGCACAATCTTCGCGATTGGTCCGGCCGCGGCTTACGCGACATTAATGTTGTTCGTCTTGCATGATGTGTTTTAAAAGCATTCTTATTCTCATCGATGTACAGTATGAGCATGATTAGAACGGCAAGAGAATCAATATACCGTTATGTGGCTTTGAGCTGTTTATGTTGTGGAATAACTACTACAATAATTCGTCTAGGATAGCTATATAAGTAAACTTTCAAAACTTATGGTACTTTAATGAATTGTACATCGAAATCTCATACAGTTTTGAATATTTTATATTTTTTTTTTGCATTTAATTATTTATTATAAGCATCTATATAATTTAACATACACACACATCCCGTTTAATTTTTATCTTTTGGTTTTTAATGATTTGTCACTTAAAATATTTATTTTACTAGAATAAGCATTATTCGTTAGTACACCCCGATTTTATTATTTTGGTTTCTGGAATAGCTCTAAAATAATACCCTACATAGTTATAAACAAATCCAATTCTATACTTTACAATCATTGTTCATTATATTTTAAAGTCATATTTCTATTAACCTAAAATCAAGTAACATAAATGTATTTTTATTGGGCTTTTCCGACACGTGATCACAAAACGGCAGTACTATAAACAAAATGACCTCTATGCTGATATCCTCAAGTATTCGAATATGGGGTTTACTGGAATGTTTTCCGTGGAAACGGTGTTGAAAATCATCGCTTACGGTGTCAAAGTAAGTACACAAACGCAGTTTCAGTGACACTTTATTCGTTGAAATTGCAAATATAAAAAGCATCAAACGATACAAATGTACACTTTCTGTTGACAACGTGTTATTTTTTTAATTACAAGACTGTGTTGAAACTATTTTTGGTCAAGTATTATATTATATTATACCCACTCCCACCATCCTCTACTGGTTTCTCTCTAAATAATTTAACAAATTACATTAAATAATTATCAAACAATTTGTATAACGCATGGCCTATCAAATGCATGGTTTACATTTAAACTCAAATAACATTTTAATAATGCTTTACTAACATACTTAAACATGAATACAAGCTTTTGTTCAGATTCGTTCGTGAGTATCAGCTTGTGATAAGGTAAGTGATATCACTTTTTTACAGTGTCTATTTGAGAATTACTAATGTATACTTTGCAGATTGTTTAGCTTTAAACATCTGCTATTTGTTGAAAGGAAATTCACGTGTATTTGTTGAAACCCTATAGCATGATTGTGTGTTGGGCTCTGCATGACGCACGTGCACTAGCCACTAACTATGTACACCATAACACAAATTCGAGTATTGGCTCAAGAATATTCCAATCTAAAACAGAACACAGACATACACACAAAATCGATACATTAACATTGTGTGACAATTAATTTTGTATTTTTATCATAGCAGGTAGAAAAATAATATGTTTTACTCAAGCAGAATGAGCTAAATTCTAAATGTAATTATACAAGCGTTTCTTACACAGTTGTATTTTTGTTTAACATTCTTCGTTACAATAGTACTTTAGCATTTGGCTTTGATGTTGACTTTTAAAAGTCTTAAAATATTTGGTCTTGATTTGTGGTAGTTTCACGAGGCTCCACCAGTACTCATGGACACGTTAACATTCATGAACATCGTCTTTACGTTCTTCTTCCTACTCGAGACTGTTTTGAAGCTAATTGCCTTCGGATGTACGGTAAGAGTTTAAAATAATTTTAATATTAAGCCTATTAAGTACTATATTAAGATGGTGTACAGTATACACGGAATTTTACCAATTTCTTAAATATATTTAAAATTGTTTGAATTCTGTGTATGTATATATAGTACCAATCACCCTATGAGTAAAACGAAAAGAAATATAAGAAAAAGATACTTAGTGTAACAGTAAAATTGTTGGTTACCTTAATATATTTTCGTTATTTACTCAATGAGCGATTGTATAGATTGCGTTTGCAAGTTATTTACACTTTTTAAAAATATATTAGTTCAGCTTACAAAATTCAACATTGACTTGAATATGATTAGAATATAATTAGAACTGTTATTATATTATGAACGATATTTTGAGACGCCGCTTTTTATTAAAACACAGGTTTTTAATGGTTTAAAATGTCACGTTATTACGATGTATTTAGTAACAATACGATTGCTTTCATGAATAGAAATTGAGAGAAATGTCCTCATTCCCATCCTTGATTTCTCCTTTTTGGATCCATTTTAAATGTAGAAAGCGTACATTTGTATACAGGTATAATGTTTTCTATCTATATAAAGTAATTTGTAACAATTTAATATCATATTAAAGCTTTCTCTCAGAATTATACTAATATTAAAATTAATATTTTAAATTTTTTAAAACATGAATTGAGACTGATAAAAACTTTCTTACTGAAGATTAGATTATTTATTGACTTTAATAATCCATTATTTGGGGTTTATATTTACACGTCACTGTTTTTATTTATTCGTGATCTTACGTGTTATGATTACAGAATTTTTTCAAAGATCCATGGAACATTTTCGATTTCATAACGGTCATTGGAAGTATTATTGACGCTCTTATTATGGAATTTGGCGTGAGTACCTTGTTTTTCTACTTTAGTTCTAATGCCAATTACGATACACTGCCGAGCTGTCTTGTTATCTTAATTTAATTTCTGGGGGTTTATGTAAAGGAAATAAATATCCTGATTCCAGAGTGACCTTGCTGAAAACTGTGCTGACATATCCTGTCAGCAGGTAAAGATTTAATCATTTAACTGCTAGGAGTTTTAGTCTAGTACTTGGATCCAATTTGTAATAAACATAGATTGAGTTTTATAAGATAAGAGAATTTGATATTGGTAGTGCTAGCTTTCTTTAAATAATTGATTGCATAGATACAGAGAAAGTACTGTCGTTTTCAAAATTTGCTATTAGGATAACGTAATGTTTTGTGAAAAAAGAATATAGATAACATTTTTATTTTTTGAGGTAAAATTGCTAATATTTTAAATCTAGTATCGAGTTAAAAGTAATGAAGACCAATTAGGCAAATTAGGATATTTAGATTTGCTAGATTTAATTGTTCTAAGTGTGTGTTTAAATATTAAGATCTTTGTCTAGACTCTAGAGCTTTTAATTTGATGTGGTTTAATTAAGTGTGATAGAATTTATAGAAATTGTATAATATTTTGTGACTACATTATATTTTTACATTACAACAGTAGTGTTGCTAAATTATTTTAGCTTTTATTTGTATTAAATTGCAACTACATTTCGCTCAGACTTGTCAAGTTGCCTATTAGTATTTTCAAATGTTTCAATTTAATAACTTGTTATGTTGTCATAGTAATTTTTATTTTCATTACGATATAAGTTCAAAGCCTTGAAATGCATATTATATATATTTATATCTCCGAAAATAAAGAATAGTTCGAAGGAAATTTAAAAGAAATATTACGAACTTATATCATTGAAGTACTGTGTAGATTAGCATCTTTAATCCTTGTAATAGGAGTTTTAATTGACCTCAGTGAACCAACAGCTATTACATATTATTACATATGCTATTGATATTTCTACTAAATTGAAATGTTAAATTATTTTCATATAAAAATATTTATTATTAGCAGTATTTGTGTATTTATGATGTGATCTGCTAATGAATAGACGTTATAGATGAGTAATAGTGTGTTGTGTTGTTATATTATTTAATTATAAATATTTTTAATTTTCAAAACCAAAGAAACTGAAATCTCAATAAAAGAAAACGTAAACTATTGCAGGAGAACACATTCAACGTTGGTTTCCTGCGCCTGTTTCGAGCCGCGCGACTGATCAAGCTGCTCAGACAGGGTTATACAATTCGGATACTTTTGTGGACATTCGTGCAAAGTTTTAAAGCCTTACCCTACGTGTGCCTTCTCATCGCGATGCTATTCTTTATATATGCTATTATCGGAATGCAGGTGCTTCTATTGACAATATTTAGTTTGTTATTTCTTCGTACATTTATCGTCCCGTCATCTTTGATTAAAAAAGTATTACGTGCAGAGTAGTGACATTTTAAGATGGGAGTGGATTATTTTATGTTGTCTTTCAACTTGGTGTTGTAAGAGGCTAAAGAAAATGGCAATGTAAAATATGATCTAAACATATTTAGTGTTGATTTTTCCTAAATGTTATATTTTTTAAATATTTAAAAATTATTAATTATTCGATTGTATAAAATTAAAAAAATATATACATAAAAGGCAAATATTATTGAAAGGGATTAAGCTATATTGGTAATGTTAAAGAATAAAAAAATATTCTTGCAATTCCAAATTATACAATCTTTCATCTTTACGATCCAGCGTTACATGGCAAACTGAAAAGTGCCTATTATAATGTGTAACCTACATTTGTATAATTATAATTAAATATTGTGACATACGTATGCATAATTAAATATTGTTCACTTAAAATATTAAAATTTGTAAGTAAAATTAATTTATAACTAAAATTACAGCAGTGCCTAGGCACAGATCTTCTCAAATGTCTAAGTTTTAGGGCAAGGAATAGTTCGCCGCGCTGCCCCAATGCTTGTTTTTGGACTTAATATATCTTTATTTTTTTATTTCTTAGGCATGCAGGTTTCCTTTCTATGTTTTACTTTATCGCAAAGCACAATGCAGATCAGTATTTAAATTTGCAATTCACAATTTCAAGGGTACCGGCGAGGCTCGATCTCGGAATGCTCGGATACTCAACCTCGGGAACGCAAGAAAAATTTAAATATTGCGATTTAAATTAAACAGTGTAACTTTAAGATATTATTTTCTATTTACAGGTGTTTGGCAATATAGAAAATGCGCCTGAAACAGCCATGAACCGGCATAACAATTTTCAAAGCTTCATTCAAGCACTTATGTTATTATTCAGGTATTCTCATTTTTATTAGTTATGATTTTATGATTTTATAATCAACTAGCGATCCGCCCTGGCTTTGCACGGGTGATTTCTGGATCTCGACAACAGCGCCACCTACTGGGTCCAAATTTATATACCATCAAATTATAAAACATTCAAACACACACAAAAACATTAATAAAATCGGTTGGATGGTTTCGAAGTCTATAAATAACATAGGTAGAAACATTTTTTATGTTTTATATAATAATAATACGTTTATTTTTTGATTACAATTAATACATTAAAAAGATGTTAACAATTGCTTATTATGTCCTGTATGATCTACCATTAATTGGCATACAAATATTTAAATAGAAACAAATTGTCCAATTAATTGCAATGTCAAACTATTACCAATTTTGAGGTCAATCGTCAAATCATAGGGTGCGTTTGGCAGAAAAAAGCGCTAGCAAACGCTTGTAAGCAAAATGGCGATCGTAAGCGGTAAGTGCTGTCAAATCGTAAGTAGCTATTTTCCTCTAGGACACGGTGTTAGTTTTAACCGGGGAACCTAACCTAATTTAAATATATGTTTGTAAAGTATTCATATTAAAAACTTACCAATCATGAATTTTTAATAACATGTATATGTTTATTCATGTCATTATATTACTTAAAACTAATATTGTACAAAACAACTTATAAACTCTATTTCAAAAAAAAAAAAAAATTAAATAAGCAAAATGGCGGATTGTGTCAGCGCTACTGAAGTAGCAATCGTGTCCTGGCCGAAAACTATTTTAGCGCTTGTAAGCGCTTGCTAGCGCTTTTTTCTGCCAAACGCACCCATTATTTTACAATTTTAGTAAATGTCAAAAAATATAATAACAAAATGAAAATAAAGCACAATTTTGTAAATAAAACACACAATTTTTTTTTGAAGTTTTTCATGAATTCATTCTTGCATTGAGTAGTAAACGTTATCAACTAATAGAGCTTTAAGGTTTTTTTTGAAGTCTTCAATTTCATTTTCTAATGTTAGGCAAATGATAGTAGATAATAGGAGGCATCCCTAATATACTATGTCGTAGTAGTACTGTTTTACCTGGTACACTAACAATTTTATGTTTTAAACATTGTGTATTTCTTTTCTCGCTCGAGGTAAACAACGACAGGTTTGAATGCACAAATGGTTCTACTTCATTTATGTATAAGCTAGGAAGTAGTGTCAACATTTTATATTCTTTAAACAACGATTTTCAACTATCAGTAGATTTAAGCCCGAATATTAGGCTGCACTAAAAGTATCGGGAATGATCGATATTTATATAATTATCGATCGATATTTCCACTGTTCCTGTCATATTAAAATCTTTTTAATTGAAAACTCCTTGGTTTTAAAAATCGAATACCATTTATTTATTTAAAAAAAGATTCTCGGTCTTGTCACAAGGTTTTGTCAAACTTGTTTAGTCGTTGAGAAAATGAAATTGACTCGAGAAAATTCAAGAGCGATGATTTATAATGACTTTCGAAGTGGTTTAACACAAAAACAGTGCGTTAACCGGATGATTTCTGCATTTGGTGATGAAGCCCCATCCAAAACCACAATTTATCGCTGGTTTGCTGAATTTCAACGTAGAGGTGTAAAGCTCAGTGATGATCCCCGTCAAGGTCGTCCAAAAACTGCAGTCACCCAAGAAAACGTTGATGCTGTGCGTAAGCTGATTGAGGGAGATCGACATGTGACATACCGCGAAATTCAGACAACTTTATACATTGTCACGAGTCAAATACAAATAATGTTGCATGAAAAATTATGTATAAAAAAGTTGTTTTCCCGATGGATACCGCATTCGCTCTGTGAAGAGCAAAAAGCGGCTCGCGTTACTTGGTGCGTCAGAACTCTCGAAAGATTCCACGCAGGATCCTCAAATGCTGTATACAACATCGTATCAGGTGACGAATCCTGGATATACGCGTACGAACCCGAAACAAAAAACCAGTCACGAGTTTGGGTGTTCGAAAATGAGTTCGAAAATAAGAACGGTTAATGCAGAATGGTATGCTAGCATTTGTTTGCCACAGGTCGTTTCTGAACTCCGTAAAGAGAGCTGCAACGGCCGCATCATCCTCCATCACGACAATGCGAGTTCTCACATCGCACACAGAACAAAATAGTTTTTAGAGCAAGAAAACATAGAATTATTAGACCATCCGCCGTACAGCCCCGACCTAAGCCTTAATGATTTCTACACTTTCCCTAAAATAAAGAATAAATTGCGTAGACAGAGATTTTCATCACCTGAAGAAGCTGTGGACGCCTATAAAACGGCCATTTTGGAGACCCCAACTTCCAAATGGAATGGTTGCTTCAATGATTGGTTCCATCGTATGGAAAAATGTGTCAATTTTCGCGGAGAATACTTCGAAAAGCAATAAATACATTTTTAAATAGTAATGTTGTGTCACTTCCTTGATTCCCGAAATTTTCAGTGCCGCCCTCGTATCGCTCTAATACATTTTTTCTGAGCGTTTGCTTAGTGTCTAGACGTGTTTTTTTTTTTATAGAAGAGGGGGCAAACGAGCATGCGGCTTACCTGATGTTAAGTGACTACCGCCGCCTATGATCAACCGCAACACCAGGGGAATTGCAGGTGCGTTGCCGGCCCTTTGGAAAGGAGTACGCTCTTTTCCTGAAGGTCCCCAGGTCGTATCGGCCCGGAAAAATCGCTGGTGGTAAACTGTTCCACAGAGAGGTTGTACGCGGAAGAAAACTCCTCTTGAAACGTACAGTGGTGGACCGCCAAGCATCCAGATGGTGTGGATGGTATCGGGACGTTTGCCGCGTTTTGCGTTCACGAAATTTGGCGGCTGGGATTAATGCGAACAATTCCTCAGAGCACTCTCCATGGTATATGCGAAAGAAAATGCAAAGAGATGCAACATCTCTTCGCAGTGCCAGTGAATCGAGCCGATCGGAAAGCACTCGGTCGTCGACGATTCGAGCCGCTCTGCGCTGGATGCGGTCAAGTGGAAGGAGCTGGTACTGGGGAGCCCAAGCCCAGAGATGGGAACTGTATTCCATGTGCGGCCGAACCTGCGCCTTGTAAAGTTGCAGGCGGTGTGCCGGCATGAAATACTGTCCCGCTCTGATGAGCACGCCAAGCTTTTTAGAGGCCAATTTGGCCTTCTCTTCCAAGTGACCACGAAACTGCACGTCACTCGATGTCGACACCGAGGATTCCGATACTGGCTGAGGCAACAAGGGGAGAGCATTGAAACTGAGGAGATACGACAAAGGGGTTCTTTTTAGCGGTTAACGCTCAAACTTGTGTCTTCTGGGGGTTAAACTGAACTAGATTTAGTCGCCCCCAATCCGAGACTCTGTTCAGCAAAGACTCGACTTCAGACACAAGTTTGTCCCGGCACTCGGAGACGTTTTCCTCCGTCTAACCGGTCGCCTTTTTTAGGGATCGGGTGGACTAAAGCCGTCTTCCATGATTTTGGGACTACGCCTAGGGAGTAGGAGTACCGGAAAAGACGCGTTAAAATCGGTGCTAACTCTGGAGCACACGTCCTCAGCACAATTGGGGGAATTCCGTCAGGCCCAGTCGACTTGTGGATGTCCAGGGAGAGGAGTGCTTTGCGAACCGAGCGCTGTGTGAATTGCACTTTCGGCATGGAGCACTCGCACCGCGGGATGCGGCGTACTCCCCCCGACATCGAGAGTCGAGTTAGACGCAAAGAAAGAGCCTAGAAGATCGGCTTTCTCCTTTGCGTTATGGGCCAGTGAGTCGTCCTCCCAATGCAGAGATGGAAGAGATGGATGACAGAAATTCCCCTGGACGGCCTTGGCGAGAGACCAGAATGCACGGGTTCCAGAAGGAAGGCGAACTATTTTATCGCCAATTCTGCCTATGTACTCTGATTTTGCCTTGGCAATGACTCTTTTGAAGGACCTAGAGGCGGAATTATACTTCTTTTTTAGAGCGCTGGTGCTTACATCCCGGGATGCTGATGCGTCAGCCCAGGCTTGGTAGCACTCCTGCTTATAGCATGATGCTATTTTACAGGAGCGACCAAACCATGGCTGAGATTTGCCTCCAATGGGCACCACAATGGAAGGAATAATAGTGGTAGAGCCACGCGGCAGCTTTGCTGTTGCACGTATGGGCCGGCTCAAACCGGGGTGGTACCACGACCTCACAGAATACTGACGTGAAGTGGAAGTTCTGCTTCCGCATTTCGTCTGGTGAGTGCAGGTGGCCGGAGGCCCAAATCCCCCCCCCCCCATCAACATGGTAGCGGAATTAAATGATGATAGACTACCCCAGGAGGGTACCAGCACCCCTGGAGAATCCCTCGCTGAGCATCCACGACCATGTTTCTCCACTTCTGAGCGTGGGTGCTCAGGCTGCCCCGCGTATTCTGGGGGGGGGGGGGGCAAAATTCCGCTCAAGACTACAACTGGTCGGGGCAAACGGAGCAATAAGACCAAGGCGACCCCTGCCACGCTGTCCGTGAACTCGTGTCTCGAGACGGCGAGGCCGGCTCTGCTCTTTCTGACCGAGACGCAGGTGTCCTCTCCGGCTGATGTCTCGTATCTCTCCTACCCGGGGTACAAACTGGAACACTCCTTTGTGCCTCGTGCTGGAGTTTGCGTTTACGTCAGAAAGGACATCTGTTCTCGACGCCTCGGCAGACTTGAAGGTTCGGACCTGTCCATTCTTTGGCTACGCGTAGACAGCGACGACCATCCGCGCGTCTACGGGTGCCTTTATAGGTGCCATAGCGGTAATGCCGAAACTGACCGACTCTTCGACCTAAATGGCTACAGATTCGTTGCATACAGCAGATCCCCTCCGCAGAGATCGTGGGCCTCGGTGACTTTAACGCCCATCACGCCGAATGGCTTGGTTCACGTTTAACCGGTCATGCGGGGAGATATGTTCATGATTTTGCCTTGGCATATGGTCCGACACAACTGGTTACTTCGCCTACGTGGATTCCAGATGTGGAGGATCATGCACCTTCCCTGTTGGACCTTCTGCTGACCTCTCACCCGGACGGATATCAGATTTCCGTCGACGCCCCTTTAGGCTCCTCGGACCATTGTCTTTTTCGGAGTGTTGTGCCACTCACGCGGAAATCGCAGTTGCATTCTGCATGCTGCTGCCGCACTATAGGTCAGCCGATTGGGATGGGGTGCAGTCTTTCTTTGCATCCTACTCTTGGGAGCGGGTTTGCTTCTCGCCGGACGATCCCAACGTTGTTGCGGATTCTGTCGCTAATGTGGTACTTCAGGGTATGGAAGTTTTTATTCCTTTTGTGTGTGTGTGTGTGTGTGTGTGTGTGTTGTGTGTGTGTGTGTGTGTGTGTGTGTGTGTGTGTGTGTGTACATTTCATATTTTTGTCTATTTCTATGCCTACGAATTTAGTGAAGTTACTTCTGTAATAGGCGATCCCTTATAGTAAATATTTAGTCCAAGCGGATTAGTTCTATTTTGGTGGAACTGTCATGTAGGTAGTTTTTAATAAATTTATACGTAACTGATTTTCTGTAATCCAGTGAACAATGTCAGAAAGTGCGGATATAAATATTTCATTTTCGTAAATATTTATATCCGTACATTTTATTAGTGTCTTACTATCGTCAACAAACAATGTCATAGGATGTCTTATGTTGTTTGGTAAATCATTTATGGATATAATAAACATTAAAGGCCCAAGGATACTCCCTTCTAGTACACCATTAACAACGGTTCTGTATTTTGAGCAGAATGTTTCCTCCGTTTTCGTTCTGTGACATATTTTGGTTATATGGGTGTATTGTTTTCTGTTTGACAGGTATGATTTCAATAATTTAAATGCGTTACCTCTTACACCATACATTTCTAGTTTATGTAGTATTTGGTCATGGTTAACAAGATCAAATGATTTGGTCATATCCGTGAACACAGCACAAACGGGTATACATTTATCAACATTGATTGTAGTATATTTAACTAATTCATAAATAGCTGATGAAGAGGATCTATTTATATGAAACCCATTTTGTTTTATAGTGAAAGTTTTGTGTTGCTCAAAGAAGGAATATAACCTATTGTAAATTACTTTTTCTATTATTTTTGAAATTAATAGGAGGAGTGCAATCGGCTTATTGTTTTCTAGTTTGTTTTTTTTTTCACCTTTTTATAACGAAAAAAAATGAGATGATTCAGCAATTTACTTAAAAAAGGTCTTGAATTCAAAGTACTAAAGTACAAAGTACAAAGTACTAAACCACATAAATTGTTTATTACTGGATAAATATTTTGAATTTTGCGCCATTGAAATAATTTCATATAAGTTAATACTAATGTGTATATATAGAGTTCCCAATTCTAACGTTAATATTTTCTTTCAAAAATTAGAAAATGCCCTCTCTAAACTGATTTGTAAAAAAGAAATACGTATAATACTATGTGGAAATTTTAATATAAATACCTTACAAAATAACACGATATCGATTACGTTTCAAAATATGCTTTTAAAATTTAATTAGATTCTTCGAATAAAAGAACCAACCAGACTATTTAGTGGATCTTGTCTTGACAATTTCGCTGATAATATGCACATAAGCTGTGAATATAATGTAAAAGATTTGGGCTTGTCTGACCATAATGCTATTTTAATAAAATACCCTATTGCTACAAGTTTTCCAAATCAGTGTTGGTAAAACGATATTATTCTCAAGAAAGTTTAAATAAATTTAAAAAAAACCTGAAAAGTCTTAGCTTCTGTGAAATATTCAATAAATCAAATCCAAACAGTGCATATGACGCATTCATTGATATTGTATCTTTTATTTATATTTATTCTTATATATTTTTATTCTTATAAATATATTATATTTTTATTCTTTCGTTTATATCAAGAAAACTAATAAGAATTATTTTAAAAGACTAGTTCGAGAGTTCTGTCGTAAGAATAATACCATCTGACTATCCGACTATTGTTTTTTTTCTCTCTTTCACTTTGTAAGTAATATTTTGTATAATGTATTTTAATATGTATTGTGTTATTTTATTTTTGCCTCATAATATGTTATTTACTTATAGTTTTGTATAGAAGTACCCGTTTATATATTTATTATTTATCCCATATTATATATTAAGTAAGTATGTATATTTTACTAACTATATATCTATTCTATTGGTTAGCATTTTATTTTGTTTTATATCTTTATTATTAATTTATGAAGTCATTGATTACACCTGCCACAGTTTCTCAAATCATCCAGGGTTGACTAGCAGAGAATGCCATAAGGCATTAAGTCCGCCCTTTATATCCCTTAGTATATAAGGTATATAAGGTGTATAATAAAGATTAAATAAATAAATAAATAAAATATCTTTATTAAATACACAATGCTTTCCAAAAAAAAATTAATAATAAGACGAAAATAAGATGGATATCTCGAGGTATAAGAGCGTGTACAAAAATAAAAAGACAAAATTATAATTTATCTTTTTATTTTTTATATTAATTAAAACCAACCACTGAAAATAAAATTAATTACGAAACGTATAGAAAACGCCTAAAAAAGATTATAGCACTCACACAAAAGTCGCAAAACAACTATAACATACAAAATGCAAAAAAAAAATCAAATGGCGAGCAACGTGGAAAATAATAAATAATAACAAACATACAAAACAAAAAGAGTATATACAAAAGATAATTTTAGAGGATAACAATTTTAGCACTAAACCATTTGATATATCCAATAAATTAAATTACTTTTTTATGGACCTGACAGATTAATATTATTGTAATAATTATGCTGCTATAAGTATCTCACAAAATCAAATTTTTACTAGGCCTGGTAACTCAATTTTCCTATCAACATGCACACCATGTGAAATATTATATAAAATTATAAAACAGTTAAAAATACTACTAGCTGTGGATGCATATATATATATATATATATATATATATATATATATATATATATATATATATATATATATATATATATATAAACATATATATATGTTTAAATATTATAGATAAATAAAGTATGAATAATCTATTATTTTAAAATAAAATATATTTAACCTTCAATAATTTTCAATAATTTTAGATGTGCGACGGGGGAATCTTGGCCAAACATTATGTTGGATTGTCTGAAGCCAGCAAAATGTGACGAGAAAGCTGGCAAACCTCCCCAGGAAGAATGTGGAAGCACACTAGCCTACGCTTACTTCGTTTCTTTTATATTCTTCTGTTCTTTTCTCGTAAGTGTATTCGACAACACTCGTTAAAACTTGAATAAAGTCACAAAAGTCTGTAATTTATTCACTCATTTTTTTGTTTTAGATGTTAAATTTATTCGTAGCTGTCATTATGGATAATTTTGATTATTTGACAAGAGACTCGTCCATTCTTGGGGCGCATCATCTAGATGAATTTGTTAGAATATGGGCTGAATACGACCCGAATGCTACGTACGTACTTCTTTTTGACAATATAAAACCAATATATTTAAACATATTAAAAAATCTTAAGACAGAAATGTTTTAATTTTATATTTGCTCTTTTTTATTAAATTTCAGAGGGAAAATCCATTACACAGAAATGTATGATATGTTAAAGAATATGGATCCGCCCTTGGGGTTTGGTAATAAATGCCCAAATAGGTTAGCATATAAAAAATTAATAAGAATGAACATGCCACTAGATGAAGAAGGAAAAGTGAATTTCACGACAACTCTTTTTGCCTTAATTCGGGAAAATCTTAGTATAAAAATGAGATCTGGTAATTATATAAACATTTTATTCTTAATCATCACATGATTTTTTGTTAAATTATTAAAATATTACATTTCTGTAAAAAGCTGAAGAAATGGATCAAGCTGATCAGGAGTTAAGACAAACCATAACACAAATATGGCCTCTCCAAGCGAAGAAGATGTTAGACTTGCTGGTGCCTCGTAATGATGTTCTTAACGCGGGAAAACTGACAGTCGGGAAGATCTACGCAGGATTGCTTATTCTAGAAAGTTGGAGATCGACTAGGTTTGGTCAGACAGAACCACAGGGTGTTCCGGTAAGCCTTTTAATAAATTTGAAAAAAAATATTATTACGCACCGTATTTATTTAAAATTTATTTTTACTATTCTTAGACACTAAAGTCTCATCAAGTTGTAGGTAGAATTATATGAAGCCAGAGCAATCTGTTTGGCTACTGATTGTAATATTCTGCACTATTTTTGTAACTTTGAGCCAAATGTGGTTAGGTTAACTACACTTTTAAGAGTAGTGTTTGTTGATATACCCCCAACTATTCCTTATATTTAGTGATTAAATTACCGTGTATTAATAGCTAGTCGAATAGTATTTGTGTTGTTTTTCTGTGGATGTATTGTTGTCTAGATTGACGTTCTTTTATTTTTACCTGAGGAAGAACGTCATCGTTCAATTTTATCTTATATAAGTAAATAGTTTTACAAAGAATACAACAATACAGAGTCACTTTAGTTAAAATCGGCTCCATTGAGTCGACTACAATGGTGGTTTACTTTTCAGGCATTCAGCGAGAATAGCCCTACGGCCAATCAGCCGGTAGTATTTAAAACTTTAATGAACGAATATTTAATTTTTCTTGCACCATTCTAGTTTTTCTCTTATATTTTGTTTTTCTATCATAACTTTTTTAGCATCGTGTTTGAATTTTGAATATTAATTTAATTTTACTGACTATGAAGACAAGATAGTATAATCTATTATGAATTTTGAATAGATCGACTTATAAACAAAGTAGTATAGTGGTGTGAATAATAATAAAATAGATTTAGACATAATTTCATATTTCTCATATTAGATAAAACAACTTTGCTAATTTATATGGCTAATTTAATACATAAATGGCCATCAAATATATTTCAGGGCATCGTAAACCACACTTTAGTGACCTGTCCTATAGTTGCAAAATTCTTAATTAGTTATTTAGAAAACTTTACTCGTTTGAAGAGTGGTTTGAAATTGGATTCTTGTAGTATTAGAATTGTGTCTCTTGTAGTATTGTTTTTTTATTTCTTGTTTGTGTCGTCTCAGTTTTCATCTTCCGCTCGCGTTTAGATGCCCGACATATATGTACTTTTTCTTAACAGTAATCTTTTTCATATTTGTAATAATATTTTTTTTTATAAACGGAATAGGAGTTAGTGCATGCCTTGATTACTACATGTTACCTACCACTTACTGCACTTCTTTAGTTTTGAATACATGTTTATAAATAACATTTTGGCTCAATTACTAGGTCATTTTCGAAGCCCGTATTAAACAGTATATTTACACAAGATTTTCTTCCATATTTACTCTTAACGTTCCTCTTTATATTTTTTTATTTTTAGTTCCATATTTCAAATAATTCAAATCTTTTATTTTCATTTGTCAATATAAGCATGTTGACAAATAAAGGGACATAATAAAATTTAAATAAAAAATTGAGGCAATCATTCAATTCAAATCACTTGCCGCGAAAGTAACTGCCTCTGGCTTCAATACATTTGCACCAAATGTATTATTTGGCACTGAAACAAAGCTTTTTATATCCCTTTCTATTAACCTTCATTTTTAAGTATTTTTACTTTGTATCACATTTACTAATTTCTATACAAACTCCACAAACAGTTAAAACACATCTACATTAAACATGTAACAGTTGTGTTCTCAGATTTACCACTAGCTGCCTTCATGTTAATAAACATGATAACAATAAGTATTTCTCGACCAATACTGTCCATTCGTTGGAATTCTACATACACACATAACACGAAACTATACACAATTTCAATTTAACAAAAGAACTCCAGCATGGACATGGTGTAAGAAATTTTTGCGCAAGCTCATGTAGGCATTAGATATTAGAACATTGCCATCGTTTGTATCCAAATTACAAACATCGAGTGACATGAGAATGCGCAAGTGTGGAGCTTCATGGGATGGGTACGTGATGTGGGGTGCGTGGTGCAGAAGGCGTCCTTCTTTAACTGCCTGCTGGATGTGGCTGCGGGACTCGGACCCGGATCGCGAACAGGTTCTCTGAGTCAAGAAGGTCCTCTTATCACAACCGCGGAGGGCCATCCGGAAGATCCACACACTTTAGCCAACTTCGCAAGACGCAGTACCAGAAAATCATTCAAGTAAGTAGTAAGCAAGGAGCTAAATTTATCGTAACAATGTTATTGCTCATCATCACCATCATTATGTTAATGAAAAAACTACTGCTGAACATAGGGGTAAACACTGCTAATTTCTGTGCCATTAACTCTTTGCATATCTCATTAATTTCAGTCAGAATATCCACTACCTCATATCGTCCCGTGGGTGTCGGCGAGGAGTCTTTCTAGTGGCAACTAAAAAAAACTGCGTTTTCCAACCCGCCTGCCAAGCGTGGCAACTATGGCAACTATGGTATAAGACAATCTAGGGGGAGACCTATTTTCAATAGTGTACTTTTGATAGGTTGAAAGAGTAACTTTATCTAGTGGGAAGATAGGCTTCACACTGCGCTTGCGATTATTTTAAAGCCTTTTTGCTTAAATGATAATAAACATTCAACGTCACAGGGCTTTTGTCTTCTAAAATCATGATAGAAATTTTTTATTTAATCGTAATGTGTGACCTACACATTATGACTAGGAAATTCAGAGTAAAACTGAAATTATATTTAAACATTTAAGGTGCTTCAATGTAAAGGCAATTTTACTTACCATATTTTTTTTTGTTTCAGGAACAATAAAAAGGTGATTACTTACTGAACATATTGACCCAATCATTATCGTGACCCCTTATTAGATCAAAAATATATAATTACTGCAACCAAAATTATCACCTCAAATTATTTTATAATACGATTGGAATATCAATTTAATGTAACTACCCTAATGTTCTGGGTTGAAGATGTTCAGTTCTTAAAGTATCTGCTATTAGGTGTGTCGTTTAGCAACAAACCATACCGGTGCATTCAATTTGTTATAGATAGTTGGTGTTGTTTTATGTTAGAAAGTCGCTGTTTCGATGTTTTGTTAGTTGAAAGGTACGATTGATGGTATTAATTGTTGTGTTAGCTACAACTTTAACAAGATTAGGCTAATATTTTTGGTAAATGGCGCTCGATAGGGGCTTAGAACCATAATATTAAATAGATTCTATGAAAACAATGTTACTAATTGTTCGAATTTACAGATGGTTCTTGATATTTAGGTAAAAAATCAGTAAAATAGGGTTTAAATTTACCAAAATGTAGAACATAGAAAAATTGTACGTGATCGTTAGAAAAATCTATGAGTTATGATTTCATACAGTATTTATTTGTGTGATGAATAATGAATTAAAATAATTAATTTCTTAGACAGCACTTTCAGAATCAATACACAAACACTTCCACATTACAGCCATAGCCATTACTCACAATATAACATTTAAAACATAACATCTATAGAAATATGAAGACAATTTGCATGATATTATACAACCATATTAATGCATGAAACCTTCATAGACTTTTGACTTGCACTAACTAGCTCAGAAGTGTTGGGTAAGTACGTAAAAAATGGTAAAGTGCCTGCCACACAAGCACGGTATGCATTGCATGTTTTGGATATCTCACATTTGATGTTTGCGTTGGTGTTGTAACGATAACAAATTTTGTAAATATGGGACAGTAAGTTTTGATGTAAATACCATAGACATCATTATTTATCATTTTGTTTTATTGAATTGAAATTGTCTCATAAGAAACTAATTTTAGGTTTTGGAGCTACAAGATGTTGCCTCTCATCATGCATCTTTAGAATCTTTAGACGAAGCGAGACTACAACCACCGACACATGCTTACCAAAATGGTCACCACGGAAGATCTTCTAGTTTAAGGTACCGTGTTACTCATTATGGTTTGTTTCGTGTTTAAGTTTATCTGATCTATTTTATTTTATTTTTATTTTATTGTTGTATTATTTTGATTTTTTATTTATAGTGCCATCGATGATATGACGCAAGTGAGAATAATTGTTTTGAGACGAGGGTATGTTCAACAGGTTCAAGAAACCAACCAAAGATCAGAAATGACATTTGTAGTCTGGTTATAATTTTTCTAATATAACTAAAACTTTTCCTCGTTGCATGCTCAATGTGTAAAGCAATTAAGTTTATAAGGGCCCAAGTAGATGAAAATGAGCACGAATAAAATATGTAGTAATTTGCTATTTTATGGCTGTAGTACTTTCACTAATATAATATCAGCCACAGATTCCCATTTGTGAAACAAGCAAACTAAATGTATACCTCGATGCCGGCCTACACTAACTTTTGGCAATAACTTACAACATGCCATTAAAATATATCATCGTGCATAATCGAGTAGTTATATTTACATACTGAGTGCAGCATAGCGCGACGAACGCTTATTATGAAACGTGAGAGATGTTGCGTTTAAATATATTTTTGAACACGGGCCCTTATAAAATGATTTAATATTCATATTTATACTTTTGAGTATCTACTACAATTTTCTTATTGTTGTTAAATGTTAATATATATAAAGTATTAATGAAAAATACTTCACCGATAATTCTCAAAATAAAAGCTAAAAATAACATATTAACGGTTTCATCAATTTATGATCATATTTAGTGCAAACTAACCATCATACAATAATTTATAACAAAATCCGTCTTATTGTTAATATTTCTATTTCAATACTAACACTCTTTGATTAATATACTAATTAATAATTTGATCAATAATTTGAATTGACCTTATGTGTGACTAACATTTTTGCGGGGATCTAAAAATAACTATTTCATTGTTATGTAATATTAAGTAAGTAAGCCGGTAAGTATAATAATAAGCACATATAATTTCTATTGTCGTCATTCAAATGTATTTACGAATCACAGACGGACTCCAAGTCCCCGACGGCGTGGCCAATATGGAGGCTATCAACACGATATTGGTTTCTCAGACACAGTTAATAATGTTGTCGAGATAGTCAAACATGAACACCAAAGACATGGGCGAACTCATCGAGCGCCTCACCACTATCATCCTCATGGTAGGTACATTTTACATAACTAATAAATTGCTAACGTCACCAAACACGAAATGTAATAATTTTATTATCTATCACGTAAATCAGCTGGTACCCTTTATGTATTCTTTAATATATCAAATTTATCACGCATTCCATCATACCAGCAGATTTACACAGCTTTAAGCTATTCCAAAGTTTTCATTGCGTTTAAGACCATTGAATCCAACCGTTGAAACTATCCTTACGATAAAGTTAGCATTTCCAGCTATGTATACGCCTTAATTAATTTATATCATTATTTTCATATAGTATATTATATTCACATTAAAAAAAAGCCTAAGCATAATAATTCATTTAGCTTTGATGTAATGGATCAAAACAGTTTTGCAAACATTTTTCTTCTCATGAAGGTACTCTGAAAGTTTTGTGAGAAGACGAGAAGTCTAGCTTTATAGTAGATGTAGATATTCATATTTTGTAGATGTAGTTTTAAGATCCAAGGAGCGAAGCCGTTGTGCTGTTAATTAATAAGTTGGTAAATTTAGTTTTAGACTGTAATCTAGCAATACTGAACATTCCACAAGCTAGTTTTGTAAAGATATTAGTAGCAAACATTTTAGTTCCGTTCAGTAATTGCTCTCATATTATGCTAATTATTGTTAGATACAAAACTATTTATAACTGATTGATTAGAATCTAATAAAAAATTAGATTAAGTGAACATTTATATAATTAAAATTTTACCTACTTCGAAATTAAACATGTAAATTTTCGTAACACAAATTAGAAACTGGAATTACTTTGCCTGCTGCATGCTAAAAATATTTTGGTGCTCAATTAAGAATCTAAAAAGATTATTACTTGCACCTAATTGATAAGAGCTTTAATGAAAACTGTGACTAAGGCGCATGTGTTTAATGTAATCAAAAATAATTCATGCAGCATGTAAAAGCTTGATAAATTAATTAGTTCAAATTTGTATATTTAATGTAGATATTCTACCTAGATACCTTTATATTTTCCAAAAAATATTGTAAAATTTGAGAACCTACCTTTGTCATATCAGATAAACAATTGAACACACTACTTATTCCATACAAACCAAGTTATCCAATCCTTGGTTTTCCAATTCCGTGTCCATGACCTCTCTGTTACCACCTTCGACATACACCCAAAACTTTTAGAGTCACCTTTGTGAGCAAGAAAATTTGGTCGGTATTCCGACGCGCTTAAGTAAAGCGTGGTGGAAGGTACATGAAGGTATTCCTGACAGCAGGGAAGGAGTGGAGGGCGCCGTATCCTACGACCAGCCTGAGCCAGCGCTCGCGGTCACCCAGCCCGCCACATCACACCTACGGTGAGATCCACTCGCCACCCGTCACACACACCGGACCACACTCTCACTACAAAGAACACGCAATACGCTTTGTCAAAAACAAAATTTACAAAATAGGGCCAGAATTATTGAAGTTAATTTATGTTGATTTTGTTTTAACTCACTTTCTCACTTTATCATTCGGTTCACTGGTCATTGCAAAGGTCTGAAATTTTGAAGCCATTAATCGAAGTTATTTGCAGAATATTCCGAAATTTGTTAATTTGTGCTTCAGTCTTAAAACCAGTAAATAATCAGGAATCAAAAATTGTAAAGCAAAAGGTCTGGTATTTTAAAAACATTGGCTTGATAATTTTATATAATCAACTAAAAAGACCTTTTGCTAATAATATCAAACATTATTTGTCGAAAGCTTTTGAAATTACACGTCCTGTAAAGATTGGCTTCTTGCATATAATGTCTAGTGAAGAAGACGCTGCTTATAAAAGAGGGCGTGACAATTTAGATAAGAAAATTGTTTGCACATCTGTTTACAAATTGTTCATTAGTATACAATTTTTTTTTGTATTAAAAATAATATACAAAATTTAAATTGCCGGTTTATTCATCAAATGTTTTTCATGAGACTTACCCTAAAAAAGAACATTCAAATTATTCAAAGATCAGTTTGGGCACCTATAGTTGGCGATCGCGAACGGGAGCGCGAGTGGAGAGAATGGCGGGAGCGGTCTTGGGAACGAGAGGGACAGAGACGAGGCCGCGGTCGCCAGCTACCTCCAACGCCCACCAAGCCGTCCACATTACAAGTCAAACAGCAACCACCATTCACAAGAATAAGCCACAGCCCCTCCCATGTAACTATTCAATATTTGTCTAAATTAAGTAAGCTCGATATATATAATACTAGTATTTAAAAATAAAAAAATATTTTCAGTTATCGTTAAGGCATACAGTGCGAGAACCTGTAGAGCCTCTGCACGATGAGTACGAGTATGGCCGGGAAGTTGAAAGACTGATACACCGAGATTATAGATCTAGAGAAAGGTGGGTGAATATCTTTTGTTATATAAACTAAGGTGGTAAACGAACTCAAATTCCACCAGTAAGAGGCTTATTGCTAATTCAGTTGCCACCTAGAACTAAGATAGAATGCCTGTCATTATACTGGTATATTCTTCAGGCCGTAACACAATAGTGCATATACTCCTATATGGCGGTAAATTGGCGCACGAGAAGGGCACACACACGGGCTCTTAATACTTTCACTGTTCGGTTTTCAGACACAATAGTAAGACCAAAGCAATGACCTATATGTAGTGCACGGTACAGTAAAATGGATAAGTAGAAAAGGAATTCTACCACCTAGTAAATTTCAATTTACAAATGATCGTAAATCAACTACCATCCTTACAGATCGTGTTCTTTTTTATGTGAAATTAATGTAAAACGTGAATTTTTCTGCAGACGTGGCAGGGGCTACGAATCGGAGCGCGGACGTGCCTACGAAGCGCCGCTGTCGTACGAGGCGGCGTTGGCGATGGGCCGAGCGGGGGGAGCGCGGGCGCTGCCGTCGCCGGTGCCGGCGCCGCGGCTTCCCAACGGATACAAGCCGCGTGCGCGCCACTCGGACTCTGACGAGGACGACTGGTGCTAGCAGCGCGGCCGCGCGCGCTCCCAGCGGGACGTGCGCGCGGCACAGCCGCGGCTCCCCAACGCGGCGCCGCACGCACATACCTTCTGATGCGTCGCGCTCGCTGCGCCCGCCGGACTATCTTCTCCGACGCGAACAATCTCGTTTTCTACTTGGCGAACGTACAGACGACTCTCGTTGCTCAGGTGTTTGGACGTTTCTTCTGGATCACCGAAACCGTGTTTCCACGAGCAGAATTCAAATTCTAGTATTTACAAAGTTTTGGAAAATTTAATTTTTAATTCGCTAAAATTTTACTCTTTGATTTATATTACGATTAGGGTATTGGGAGTATATAAACAGTGCCAGGCAACTCAGTTTGCACTAGGATTTTTACATAAAATAAAATTATTAGTCTGTATTGTAAAAGTAAACTTTCTATATTAAATTTGCACTACGTAAAATTTAAATATATGTATATCGCCTGCTGAAACGGTCAGGCCGGTTTCCACGGTAGCGAGTACGCCTGCGCCTGCGTGCGGCACGCGCCCATTAAGTGGACTTCGCTCTATCTGTTTCACGTTCAAGTTAGAAATTGGCGGAACACTAGCTACTAATGTATAAAATATTTACATAGCAAATAATTTTTACTTAGTTAAAATTATACTAAATAAATAATTAAACATTTTTTATTGAATTTGCTGTCCTTTTCCGAAGTGCTTTATATCTACGTTATTTAAATTTAAATACAAATATAACTAAATAATATTATGGATTGTATGTAAACTTTGCAAATATATTTCCACATTAAATGATTACATAAATTGTTAAATCGTGTTTAGGCCAATCAATAGGCAGATTTCTTTTTGTTATATTTGGTGATTAAGTTTATATATGCGGATAAGACTTTTATTATAAACTCATTACATCGTTTTATAAGCAATTAAATAGCACACTTCACCAAATAAATGCTCTTCTGATATTTCAAAATAAATTACATGTCTGTAATTTAAAAACATAACAAATGTCTTGTTTGAATCGGTTTTGATATTATTTGAAAAGATTTTGTAGCCTGGTTTATATTGCTAGAAAAGTTATGGATAGTAATAATAACAAACATTATTCTATCCTTTTCTTAATTTGAAATTAATGATTTACTAAACGTATTTCTTTTTACATTTACTTTTACAGTTGTGTATAATTTTGTAAGATAATATCAATATTTTTTATTAATACTATTAACTTCGTAATAAAACTTTTAGCTTCAATGTTAAATTGGTTTAATCTATATTATCTTTTTAATCAATAGTCAGATACTGATGCAATTGTATTCCAGGGACAAAATCTTTCGTTAGCACATTTGTATCAAATTGGTTTACAGCTTTTCAAACATTTTATTTAAGACGTTCATTTAATTTATTTTTATTTTTTCTATGTCCCATCGAAGTGTTCTAGCCACTCGAATGTCGGGGTCATTTTGGCCAATATGGCGCATCTGTCGAGCACTTTCCGAAGTACTAAGTAAGTATAATAAGTATACTAAGTATATATATATATATCATATATATGTTACAAATAGTTTGCTATCACTCGACGCCATATTATGGCGTTTGACATATACGCATATTATTTGAGACGCCAGAATATGGCGTTTGGACATCCGAAGGGCTAGAAAAGTAAGATATCGTTATGTTACGCTTCGTTTGTAAATCCATCACCAAATTTAAAATAGATTATCTAAACCCACCTATTGTATCCTTATAGAGAAAGTACAAAATGTAATAGGTTATAATAAAATTCAGTCTAACTTTAACACAGAAAATCTATAATTACACTTGGGGTCGGACGGGCAAGATGTATACAGCAGGGGAAATAATCATACGAATTGTATTGAATTGATATTGCCTCTGTAAATAGTTTGCCATCCGCCTTACAAAATATTATGGTAAATTTAAACACTACTTAAAGGCGGCGGAAGACAAATATGAATTATTTGGGAACTTGGAAAATAATTTCCATATAAAATGGTTGAATCCTATTTAGGTCAATCTTTCATTGGCAGCTTCCTTTTCGGTATTCATTATTGCATCTTAAATTTACCATACATATTTTATACAATCCATATGATTTATTCAACCCGCTGCCATTCATGATGCCCTTATGCCCTGTAGGATGTGTGGCGAAAGTATCTAATATTTTAATTTCTCAATATAATCTGTACATGATATAGTTTATAATGTGCAGGTTGCAAACAGACGCACAGAACAATAGCCAAACGTTTTGATTCGCTAAATTTCGATAAACAATTTACAAAAATTAATGACAGAAGTTGGCATAATGCTAATATGGTAACTGTATGCAGCACTCGATACTTTCACAAACGAAAATAAGAGTCCATTAAAATGTTAAAATCGATTGATTTCCTTTTGAACAAAAATTATGTAAAAAATACAATAGTGGTTGGGTGAGGCTAATTCGTTTAACACCATCCACCACCATTGATGCGCGGCAAGCTGTAGATTACGTCCGACACTTTAGTGCGACAAAATTGTAAATACATGATTTTCTGTGATAACATGATGAACAAATGAAAAAAATATTAGAGCTGTGTGATTGCAGATAAAAGTTATTTATTTGTCGAAAACGCTGTACTATGATTTGGTAAATTGATCTTGCGACTTTCATTAAAGTTTGAAATAACGTTTTATATACGCAGTGTAGTAAGATACTCATAATGTTGACCTTTAAATTGACTACTACTCTTAGAAACAAAAAAATAATTCTAATAACAAGTAATGGAATACTTTTCTTGAAGATATATTTTTGTCTATTCATTTTGAACTCGTCTTGTTTCTGTCCGATCTCATATATATGTCGATATTATAATAAGTTAATAACTGCATTTACTACCTTCTTTTATAATCACTGATGGTTGCTCTTTTTCTTTGGTATACTTAACAAAATATTACTGCAAAATTTTGATTAAAGAGTCTTAACGAAGACGTCTTCATAAAAATTGAGGTTATCTTTATCTTTTAGGGAAACTTAAATAAAAGTCTCAAGATCATATCTATAATGAGACGTCTGTAAGTAGATATATTAGTTGACTTCGATATTATTAGTACAATATGATTGTTGTTATTCATGGCAACGGCCATGAACAAGTCGTTAGAACAGAATAGCTTTTAAATGTGTTTTTTTTAAATATTTTACCTCTGTTAATAGTACAAAATATGTAAGCTTCGAGACGTATGTGTTTCTCTAAGTAGGTAAATATTTCATTTGATTCTTCTGTCTCGAGATCAAAGACAATCTCTATAATAACACTCTGAAGTTACATCAGTATTGAACTTATTCACTTATAGCTGTTTCATTGAGATATAGTAACAGCATTTGAACCAAGTTCATCGTTCTTGAATTGCATTACGGCGAAAGCTGAGATGACTTCAGAACCGCAAACTGTTTTAAATAGTATTTAGTCCCAACTACAACACTAGCCTAATTGAATCGTTTTACTTAACAAGCGAAAAGGAATGCTATTTGCATATATAAAATGTATAAAATATGAAATTTTACCCTCAATTTCAGAGTGTTAGATTTTTCTTCTTCGTAGTTTTATTATTTAACATGTTTGACTTATGAAATTTGTATTGTTATTGTATAGATGTTCAAGTATTTTCTTTCTGTCTTCATAATTGGGGTGTTAGGATACAATAAGCCGATGGACTTTCAATGACTGAGTAGAATAGAGTTACAGAGTGCGTCCCGCTTTAGTGTTCGTGACTCTTACGTAATAATTGCGATTATGTTTCATTAAAATACGTGTTTAAGAGATGTAAATATTGTAATATATAAAGCGGCCGCCATGTAGAGGTCGCCTGTGAAAATGTCTAGTTGATATATTACTAGTTAATATTAATGTTAGCTAGGTAATCTCGTTCCCAACTATCCTTAAATTTGAGTTGGGTGTTTCACTGCCTTAAAATAATAAAAGCTCGTCGTAATAGTTATCTTAACTACAACAGATAAGTGACGATTCATATTTATTCGTTTGTATTATTCTACGACAATATGAAAACGTGGAGCATCTTTTCAGACTTCATTTATATATTTAGATATCACACCAATATTTAATAGTTGAAAGTCAAAAATATTATCAGCATTGGCAGATATAATGCAATTTCGACAATCTCCCTTTAAAGGAGCAATACAAACGACGTGAGTGGCGAAGTAATTGGAAAAAAAATATAACTGCCTTAACTCATTTGGTTTCCAAATCGTAATTAGTGAGAAAACTTTAGGAGAAGGACTGATGTAATTTTATTGTACCTATTACATACTCGTATATTGGCGTATAATTACCAGAATAAAAACGTTAAAGTTAGACCATCAACATTTTATTATAGTTAGGTGCTAAAATTTAATCCCGTATTAACCACACCTACGCCTTAACGTTGCTGTGAGAAAGCTTAGCTAATATCAGCGAAGTAACCGAAGTGAGTTAAGCCAGACGCAGCCAGCCCAGGTGACATGGCGTCTGCCTTTTACTGTGTAACTGCTTCGTGAAAATTATTATATTTAATATTATCGCATAATTAGCATAGAAAGTTCATCGGCGTCAAGAAAACACCATAGTTTTTTGGTACGTTCAATAACTTTGCAAAATAGTGCGATACTATTGATATTGTATTAATAAAGAACCAAAGTTAATATTAGTATTTAAGTAATTTATTATCCTAAAACTAAATACTATACGCATGTTTTCACTATACTGGTAAAATGGTTATGTAAAATACGAAAGAGCTGTTTTATATATGAATTCTTGATTGCCTGTAAAATTTTGCAGAACGAATCATATTATAAGATTGTACAATATGAATAAACGCAAAAACGAAATTTCCTCGATATGTTGTGTTCATTTTTATAGCTTGTGCAAAATTGTCGAACTGGGTAGAAGCAACTACTTAATAAATTTACTTCATTTCGTAATGTCTCTAAAGATAAAAAGATTTTGAAAATACACA